AATTCAACTAAGGCATTGTTCTTTCTTAATTGGGTGTGTTTCAAATCCACGTCCTTATACATGTCATAAAACAATGATTTCACTACAATGTTGTGGCTAACTCAGGCTAACATTAAACAAATAGTTCCTTCTACTAACGCTGACGCTAGAAATGGTATAAAAGAACTTACGCTATTTTCTATTCAGATGATGAAACACATTATCTAATTAAATTTCAACTATTTCAAGGTATTTTTACGGAAGCGTAATAGGGCCACATATTTTTTTTTATTATTCTATTTTCAATTTTTCAAGTTACTAACATGAATTTTCAAGATAGTAACTTGAATTTTCAAGTTAGTAACTTGAATTTTCAAGATACTGATTTGAATTTTCAAGATACTAACTTGAATTTTCAAGTTACTAACTTGAATTTTCAAATTATTAACTTGAATTTTCAAGTTACTAACTTGAATTTTCAAGATACTAACTTGAATTTTCAAGATACTAACTTGAATTTTCAAGATACTAACTTGAAGTTACTAGTTAGGCCTACTTTTATCCGTTACATATCCGTTACATTTCTGGTAGCCTATATTTGTGTCAAGGCGGCTGTGTGGGCGTATTATCTTTCTTGTATGGCCTTTTACTACCCGGAATTTTCAAGTTATTGACTTACAGGCTTTAAAATTTAGAAAAGAATAAATTAATGGCCCTATTACGCTTCCGTAGAATTAACAGAGGGGGGAAGAGTATTGCGTTTATACTAAGCTCTGATAAAAAAAAAACATGTCTTCTCTTCATAAACTGGCAGTATTGACCTAAATAAATGAATGAGTGAATCATGTCAGTCTACGTGTTATCGCCGATAATCTGCTTATGTTTTGGGAGTACCCCTAAGTGATAGGATAGGCTGCTCCCACACCTTGTCACTAAGATAGCAGAGAATGGGACTCAAACCCTCGACACCATTGATGGCAGACTAAGGCGTAGCCTATCGGCCACCCGACCCTCTCCCCAAGAGTCGCCTTCTAGGACACGCTAGGAATGAGGCGATGGACACATTCTACTAAAATAATGAACTGTAAAAAATTTATATTTATTTTACATCGTTTCTTGAAGTACCTCGTAACGTCCAGGGTTATTAAGGGTGTGGGGGGATGGCAGAGATGTCCTAGGGGGCAGATGTTCCAAAGGAAAAATGTCCGGGGGGAGGGGGCAAAACTCTGGGGGTAGAGTTCCTTAGGGGGGGCGGGGGGTAGATGTCCTGGGGGGGGGGGGCAAATGTCCGGTGAGTAAAAGTCCGGGGGTAGATGTCCTAGGAGGGAAGATGTCTTCAGGAGGAAATGTCCTGGGGGTAAAAGTCATAAAAGGGGGGGGGGTATCCGGGGGCAGGTGTCCGGCGGGGGAGATGTCCAGGTGGGGTGGGGGGGGGAATGTCGTGTATTACGTCAATAAAGATTATTTTTAGAACTGGGAACTGGGACGTTTGATTCGTCATTACGCACCACATTTAATTTTTTTTTTTTTGTACTTCAAAAAGGTTTTCTATAGGGCTCAAAACTGTTAAAATGAATGAATGAATGGTTGGTGTTTTATAGCACGTCGACACCGTAATAATCTGGTCAATTTGCGCCAATCTATGTGCTATCGAAGATGATTTGCAGGGGGAAACCGGAGTACCCGGAGGAAACCTGCGTGATCGAATAAGCTACTCCCGCACCTTGTCATTGAGGTCGGCGAGAACGGGATTCGTACCACGACCCCATTGATGACAGACCGACCACCCGACCACCCTCAAAACTGTTGGACTCGTAAAAAATAGAATTTAATGAGATGATTTAAACTAAAGGCAGAACACTAACACATTTAGTACTTAGAATAAGGCCTTTTTTGAACCAGCGAGAGTGGAATTGTCAAATTTAGTATCTTGAAAATTCTAGTTAGTATCTTGAAAATTCAAGTTGGTAACTTGAAAATTCAAGTTGGTAACTTGAAAAATTGAAAATAGAATAATAAAAAAAATATGTGGCCCTATTACGCTTCCGTATATTTTTCATAAACTGATTATTTAGAAATAGATATATTCGATATCATTCTATAATTCAACTTGAATTGAAATTGCCACTCCATGAACTTCTCGGTCCAGGCAAAGTTTTCAATCGATTTTTTGGGAGATGTAAAATGAAATCACGCAGAATATTGCATTTAAGCACATTCTACACAATCAACAATATACACAAGGCCTCGAAAAATTGTGGAAAATTCAATATAAAATATGAGACAAGAAACATTTTCGTTCGTTCGACATACACATAATTAATTCGTGAAAACGAGATACTAATTTGTTCAAACGAGATACTAATTCGTTCAAACGAAATACTAACTCGTGAAAACGAGATAATTAATTCGTGAAAACGAGATAATTAATTCGTGAAAACGAGGTAATTAATTCGTGAAAACGAGATATCCGCTCAAACGAGATAGGCTACTAACACGTTCAAACGAGATACTAACTCGTTCAAACGAAATACTTTTTTTTTGTTTGGCACTGATAGCCATTCATTACTATACAATGCGGTCGATTCGATATCTTTTCCACAAATAAGGCTGATAGAATAAACATGTGCTTTTGAAGATAACTGCTTTTGAGCAAAGTCAGGTCATCTATTCGTCCCACAAAACTTATTTTTATCTGAAAACATGTTATATTTAAAGACAAGGAAAAACGAAATTGCCTAATAAATCCATAAAATATTAAATAATATCATTGATCGCCCGCATTCAAATTTTGGGGATTTAAGTTTCTGGAACTTTTCGCCTGGAGGAAACATGTCGAAATTCAGAATCATGCGTCTATTTTAATTGAAAACAGGTTAAACGCTCTAAATTTCAGAATTTATTTATACGCCCCCCCCCCCCCCAATACAGGAATTGGTCGGCTATCGTCATAATAAGGAATCCTTCAAAAATGCAGAAAACTGTGTTATCCTTTCTTCGCAATATGGAGATGGTAGTGGGCATATTCGTTACCAAATAATTCTAAAGGATTGTTATTTTGTTGTATTTTTTTTTTTTTTTTGTAACTGTTTACCGGACCTATCCATATATTATTTTAGAAATTCTAACAGTATTTGTAATTTTCTTTTCATACGTTGTATTTGGGAAATTTGGAGGTTTGTAACTTGTAAGAATACGTTTTAGATGACCATAATTCCTAGTATGATTTAACTGGAAGTGGAGTTATTTTCGTTTTAATTTTAAACTAAAAATATTGCTACTTTAAAAGCAAATAGGTTAACAGGATATGGCCAAGTCAGCACCACCTATAATCTTCGCTAAAATATTTTTAATCCGATTGTATCCGTAGAATAACAGTGTTCGCGCAGGTTCGTGAACGATGGAAGAACACAGAACACTTTCACGGGTCCCGAACATGGGAGAACGGTATCCATGGTAATAAGTTGAATTAAATTTATACAATCTATTACTATAACTTGATTAGTTCTGTATTATGCACAAATGACCTCGCTATTAAGCATAATTTTGATAAATGACTCCGTTTTACTCCTTTTCAATTCTTTCGGTGACGATTACTTCGCCTTTTGATACGGCCACATGAAAATGTGCTCGTATAATGTCGTCGCTCCCTCCGTCTGTCCGTCCACAATTTCTTGTGAACACTATGCAGACAACATTTATCATCTGATTGTTGTGAAATTGATATATGTTGTTTACTTTAGTGAGATGAAGAAGCCTAGTTAATTTCAATGATTTCCGTTAATTTCTTCTGGAGTTATGACACTTGTTTCACTTTGTTGCACCTTGTGAACGCTGTAACGACAAAGTGAAACAAGGGCCATGACTCTTGACGTAATAAACGAAAATTGCTGACATTTAATAGGATTCTTCGTTTCACTAATTTAAATAATGCATATATAAATGGCACAAAGATCGGTTGTTAACTTTGGCGTTGGAACGTTCACAGGGTTCATCAAAGTGAAACAAGGGCCATAACTCCAGACACAATAAACAGAAATTATTGAAATTCAATAGGCGTCTTTATCTCACTAATGTAAACAGCATATATCAATTTGAAAACAATCGGATGATAACCGCGGCCTTTGGCGTTAGATCGTACACAAGAAATTGTGGGCGACGGGGGGCGACGGCAATGATAGTATATCGGTACGTTCATCTCCATGTGGGCGTATAAAAATCTGTAAATTTCAACAATTAAGGCCCTGTTTCAGTTTGTAGAACCTTTGTAAACCCACAAACGACTAAAATTATAATCTGATATGTATGTATAATTGTCTTGTAAATGCACCCATTACCTACAAAAGAATGAATCGACAATTACCCTTGTCGACCGCACTGACGATTTAGCTGCTTTGGGCGTATGTTTCGTTGCCTAGCAGCCTATCTTACTTGATGTTATACTGACCACATACTACATACAGTTTTTTAAATCAATATGAATTAATGCACTCGAATCATGATGCTGTTTTCTCGGCAGTTGTCGACGCGTCGACTATGTTTCAAGTCCTCGCCTCACACCAGCTAACGAGGTAGTGTGGCATTTGAGAACGGGAACGTGTTCGCGAACGCATTCCCGGCTGTTCGAGACCGACAAGAACAAATTCTCCGTCCGTTCTCTGCACCGGAACACTGTTTCGAATACACCCCAGCAGTGGTTACTTCAACGTAATACTTCAGATTCAGATCCAAATGTTGATTTCTTAATATTAAATTAGATTCTACAGACTACTGGCAAAATTGCTTGTCTTGTACTTGTAGTACATAAATATCGGAATCGGTGTTAAGAGGGATATTTCAAAGATACAAGTGTACTTAAAGTAAATTCGAATGTATTTAAATATTTGTGCTAACACACACATTGTGTACGGTCTCTTTTTAATTAAAAGCCGATTTCTCGAGAAACGACTGTTATGTCACACCCACTGTATTCGTTACTAAATATAGCACACAAGAGGCAGATTAACTTCCGGGAATTCAAGCGCATGCGTATTGAAAATGTCTGTCAGCCGATGTTAAACCGCAAATATTCTATTTTATTGAACAAGTTCTTGATTCAGATTCGATATTTCGGCACTAGTAGTTTCAGGCGATTTTATTTAAACACAATCAAGATAGGCTATATAGCACTGAGCAGGCTTCTCGTATGTAAGGATAATTTCACAATCTCCATTGTATTGTTGTGACCGTGACCAAAATGGCGACGGCTGCAGAAATCCGACAGCCGGGGCCGATGTCGATGTCGATAACAGACGATGGAGATACAGAGCAATTAGAAGAAACAATCGGTAAGAATGTAGCTGAGAATATAGATGTAGTGTGGTAACTTTATTTAGTCCCAGGAAACGTGCAATTAAAGAAAATGTGATTTCTCAAGTCTCTTCCAAAATTCTCGACTAAGCTAGCCATGCAATGCACATGCCATACATAGGCCTATTAGTATTATTAGGCTAGTCCTATTATTAACTTCGATTCGAACGCTGAAATTGAATGAATGATTCAATTCAATAACATAGAAAATGATTTGTAGCCTATCTTTTTTTCCCCCCTCTCACAATGCCCTAAATCGGTCAGAACCGTTGTAAATTTGAAGAGCCACTCAACAAGAAAACCATGAGGAAGGTGCGAAGCCAAAGTGGGGGTCGGCCAATTGAGTTCATATTTACAGGGTTTGGACGACCCATCGAGCCTACTCCCCAGCCAAAATCGCCGATTTTAGAAATCAACCTTTTCGGATATACAGCTCGATTACATTTTTCGACTGAATTTCTGGTCAAATTTCGACCATTTTTGTAGCATTTCTGCAACCGTTAATCAACCAATGACTGACTATGTTTTGGTTGGTGATTATAGTCTGGGTATCACCCTACCATATTATAATGGTCACTCAGTACAATCTCTCTTTCCCTGGGTGTCACAAGACTACACAAAATATGTGTCTGTGGATACCCGAATTATATCCTTTCTTCAAGTTGCGATAACTCCACCTAAGCAGGTTTGGGATAAAAATGAAAATCATTTAATTTGCAGCGTGACATGTTCTAACAACATAAAAAATAAAATCGTTGTCAACTAACCGTCAACAGTATGAAAATTTGTGTCGAGAGTTACGAAATTCGTCACTTTTCGCGTGATTTTTGGTTTCTGAACTCCCGAGTGTTGAGATTTCGCCCGTACATTCCGGACGAATACCTGACAACTCATCCCAATATAAGACAACTCATCCCAAGATATTAGCTATACAGAAACTCATACATAAAGATAAGGATATGTTATGTTCTGACGAATTTCTATCAGACAATGATATGGAAACAATCAGCACTACTGGGGCCAACATTTTCAGTCACATGTATGCATAGGCGTACGGGGAAATTTTTGACTGGGGGGGCGGTGGTGGTTGGTGCCCAAAAAATGTAGTTAGGTTCTTAGTATGTTACATAATGATAATAAATTCGCTGTTAAATTGGACACACTCAAGAACACAATATTTTTTTTATACAACTTTTACAAAGTACAATTGTGTGCCCAAATTTTCCCAGCATTTGGTGCCCAAAATGGGGGTGCAGCCGCCCCCCAGCCCGTACGCCTATGCATGTATGGTTTAAAGAAGGAATTGAAACGTGTACGCTATGATAAGTATGCAGAGGACCCAAAAGTTAAAACAACTTAAAATTTAAAACAACAATATCCATTTTAATAATTTTATTAAAACAACAATATCCATTTTAATAATTTTATTAAAACAACAATATCAATTTTAAGATAACTCATTTTTATAACAAAATCAGAATGGTCTGAGTGGTCTTCAAAGAAAGCAATTGTATTAAAAACAAATATAACTAGCACATATATTTGTTGGGATGAGTTGTTTACACGTATATCTCGACCCATGTTTTAAAATTGGGATGAGTTGTCTTTTATCTTGGGATGAGTTGTCTTTGGGATGAGGGGATCAAGTGGCTAAGTGGGTAAGACGCTAGCTCTCTAGCCTGGAGATCGGGTGTTCGATCCCTGCATTGGCCGAGAAAGTTCATCCTAATTTTCCGGCGTGGTTCTTCTTGACAATGATGAATAACGTAGGGGCTGACAAGGACAGCTGTCTAGTCGTTCGGATGGAGCGAAAAACCGAGATCCCATGTACAAAATCTCCCTCATAGCACACTGTCATTAATGCCTGACTTCATTGGCCCAGTTCGGAGCAAAACAGTGGGATCTCGGTTTTTCGCTCCATCCGAACAACTAGACAGCTGTCCTTGTCAGGCCCTCTGTCCTGCATCACTGACGAGGGGGAACCAGACCGGAAAATCTGGATGAACCTGGCCAATGCAGTGATTGAACACCCGACCTCCAGGCTAGCGAGCCAGCATCCTACCCACTTAGCAACCGTGATCCCCAGATTGATTACACAATTATGTGATCAGTGTATTTATCGTGGTATCCCGTCTACACACATACATGTACCTTGTTTACCTGCTTAATCTGCCTTGCTTGACTGACTTATTCCTTTGTCGGGAAATTCTCATCAATCTCATCTTGAAGTTGAACAGAAGTCATTGCTTCTCTTTTGTCGGACTATTTATCAATTCAATCATGACTGAGTATCAACCATATCTACATGATTACCTTGGTGGTTTCACTATTGCCAGACATATTAATCTCATTGAAACTAGTCGTTGATGTCACATGGCACTTTCACGCAATCTCGATTATCGCACGAAAATCACTTACCATATAAGGCATTGCTTGCTGCGAAACTATGGTTGTACATGTATTTTTACGGTCACGTACACCATAGGCTGAAGTTACAGTATGTATGCCTTTACAAGTGATTAACTATTAATGTAATTTTAAAATCCCATTTTATCAAAATGTTTTGACATCACCACAAGTCTTATTTCGGACGCCTTTCTTTCATTTGCTGCCATATAAACGAAGACTCGTAATATTTTAGTAATATTACTGGTGTGAATTTGATTGAAGCAGGCACGGATCGGCAAGCTTTCATTCTATCGTATTACGAAAACACGTAATTTTGTAGGAACATTACTGACATAAATTTGAATACCACATGAGAATTAAATATCAATAAGCAGCAGTTGCCATGCAAGATACGTCCACATTTTGCAAGAGATGGACAGAGAACAAGCTAAATAAAAAGCGATTTTTCGTTCAATCAGTCCGACATGCAACAATATCAAATGGTACCAAGATCTTTGGGATATAAAAGTATATATAAAAAAAAGTTACATGAAAGTCAAATAAACATTGTGAAATCAAAGGGGGACTACTAGCTAAAAAAATGTGATTTTTCGTACATTCATTGGTCATAATTCATGATGTTTTGTTGAAATTGGATAAAAATTGTGACATGTAGAGTGTCCACAAACAAATTGTGGACAGACGGACAGGGGCGACGACAATATACGTTCAATAAAAAAATGTGGGCGTACAAAAATAGCGAGCTATTCCTATTTTTATTACGTGCAGATTTGAATATTTTGTTGTCATTTTAAAAAGAAGAAAATGATGTTTTGACATCACAAACTATTCTTATTTCGGAAGTTCTGCATTCATTTGCTGTTGAAGGAATATTACTGTTGTGAATTTGAAGTCGAGTCAGGATCGGCAAGCTTTCATTCAATCAATGTTTTACAAAAACATGTAATTTTGTAGGAATATTAATAACATAATTTGAATATCATACAGGTACATACACCTATTTTTATTATGTACGGAATTTGAATATTTTCTTGACACATGATTTTTAATTGTGGTATGAATCTGTCTGCTTAAATAACGATTGATATACATGTAAGGTTTATGCCCCTTCATTTTCGGTAAAATGTTTGACAAGAAAATTTTTGAAATCCCAACTCGTAACTCATTTGTTTTTCAATATTTTCGTATGAGATATGGTTTGTCGATCGAGCAACGTGTGAGCTTCAAATTGTATCGCTGATGACCTCGCGATTGAAGGTCACGATCAATTTCAAATAGGCGATTTTCTTGGAAATTGGGTTTCTTTGCATAATTGTCGACTTTCATCTGCTCTTCATGTAACTCAACTTTTTTTATTCAAAATTTCGGATTGAAATTTTGCATAGAAAAAATGTTGAAATAATCAGGGTCGACTGTATAGGAGCTTTTACGGGTTTCCCTTTTGACGTCATTTTCGGTCATGCGCAGACCCTGGCCTTATTCGTAGACTGAAACCCATAGGCCAGTGTGTGTTTTTTTGTGAACATACCCGTCGTACAGCAAGCTTCTTTTTATAAAATGGAACTGAACGTCATTTCTATATATGTGTAAGCTTTACCGACCGATGCCAGAAAGCGAGATTTACAAAAAACTCGATATAGGAAAGATACGGCAAGTTTACATGTACAAGACCCGTAATTGGCCGTTTGCAATTGAGGAAACAAGTGGATGACTGATCCGTACGCATGGCCTGAACTAGAATTAAGTCAAGTTTATTACGCATTTTACGGACCAACAGATGTTACATGTATATATTAATTACAGGACTATTAACACAAAAGATTTAAATGGTCTATCCTATTTACATTCAACTGCCGACTGGACAGTTCTTTGCGAGGTTGATATATCGTCTGCTATAGCACTGCATGCTACCATAAACGACACAAAACACGGTACTATGTTGGTCTTTGAGGCTGTCAACTTGAAAATAATTCCAGCTAATAATACTATAAATAGTATGCAATATGCAAATAAGTTTGTTTATCGCATATTGTTAGTCAATAGCTATTGTAAATGTCCCCGGGTTTAGAGGGCTCTAACCAATGATAAAATAGTTTGGTGTACGGGGTAAAACTTCAGCCATTTTTAGAAATTTTCCTCTTGATGGGATATGAATAACGGAAAGAATAAAACGACGATCAAGTTGAATCTGTGAATATTTTTTAAAACCGTTTTTTTTTTCTGTTAATTGTAACCACATAAATCGTCTTGGCTCAGCTTTTGGCACTCAGTGAAATTTTAATCCAATCAGTTTATCTTGCCGCAACCAAGAAGAAGAACGATACATTTGTGTCCATTTTATCAATTTCTAATTCAGTATTTGGTTCAGAGAACAACTGTTGAATGAAAATATGTAACTGGACTCAGTGCATTCTATACAGCGTGATTATTATTTGTTCTCTTTTCTTAGATGTGCTACGGTTGTGCTTAAATTTTAATATCGCCTTGAATAATTCTTTCGTGGAACTGCAGGTCAACATCTCTAACCCATTCTATTATTTACTCTTGTGCTCTATTTCATGGCATTTTACAAGCAAACAGATGTTATCTATTAATTGTTTGCAGTAAAATTAAAACAAAACATATAAATCAGCTTCATACAGCAATGCATCTTTGTAATGCTTTTGCGTACTGTGGTCAACTTGACCGTGTGCGAGCTTGACATATATCGTCTGCTACATACAACGCAGTATATTGTCAATAAAACGAAACAAAAATAATTAAGACGCGATTTGAAATTGGTAATTTATTACGAATGCTACACGCAACTTACAAGAGTGGCATTCAATAATACTTTTTGTATTTAAAGAGAAAAAGAGGAAAAAACCTATTTTCCCTAGCATTTCCCATGTTAAGACCCGTGTTGAAAAAGGCCAGGCTAAAAATAGACACCGGAAATACGTCGCGCGTAAAAGCTCCTATTAGATCGAGAATTTGCGAAAATCCATATTCACTGGAGATGCAATCTTGGATTTGTATACTGGATACCAAACCACTGAGACTAAATATTTTGGCAAAGCGGGTTGAAAGGGAGTCGGAGTTGATATATTGACCCTTTGAATATCAATTTAGGCGATTGGGTACCGGTACCTGAATAATCCACCGATGTATCCCAATCAAAACTGAAGGAAGTTTTTGGTAACTTTCCACACAAACTTTCATACTGTTGCAATTTAGCTGACAATGATTTTATTTCTTATGTTGCAAGAACTGGTCAAGCTGGAAATAAATTGATTTTAATTTTTATCGCAGACCCTGCTCCAGTGGAGTTATCGCGATCTGAAGATATGGTACATTTCAGGTATCTCCAGACACGTATCTTGTGTAGTCTCCTGAGTCCTGACACCTACTGTAGAAAAGGAACTTTAGCCGGGTGACCATGATAATTTGATAGAGTAAAACCCTGACTATCATGAACAACCAAAACCTAGTTTGCAAGGGTCACGTAACAGTGATAGTAGGAAAATAGCTAAAATTTGGTCTGAAAATGGCAAAAATCGGTCGTAAAACGTAATCGGCCTGTATTTCGGAAACGGTTAATTTCTGAAATCAGCGATTTTGTCTGTGGAGTAGACTCGATGGGTCGACCTAACCTTGCGAATATGAACTCAATCGGCAGACCCCCACCTTCGAACATCTGCATGATATTGCATGGTTTTCTCGTGGAATGGCTCTTAAACGGAATTCTCTGATTATGAACAAACAACTTAATTATGGTTATTAAAAACTTGCCCATGTGTTTGAAATCCCCCCCTCTATCGGGATAGATCATTTCGTACAAGAAGGGGTGGCGAGGATCACGGTGGCTAAGTGGGTAAGACGCTGGCTCGCTAGCCTGGAGGTCGGGTGTTCGATCCCTGCATTGGCCGAGAAAGTTCATCCAGATTTCTGGCGTGGTTCTCCCTTGTCAGTGATGCAGGATGGAGGGGCTGACAAGGAAAGCTGTCTAGTCGTTCGGATGGGACGAAAAACCGAGGTCCCGTGTACACATTGGCGTGCACGTAAATGATCCCTTGACAGTTGGAATTCGATATAAGAGTAGGCCGTAGTGCCGCTGTCCGGGCAAAATTTCCCTCATAGCACACTGTATGGCGTATGCCCGTCTTCATTAGCCCAGTTCGGAGCAAAACAGTAGGACGTTAAACCCCATTTCATTTCATTTCATTTACAAGAAGGGGTGGCAGCAAGGCGCGTGTATTGTGACAGTGTCTGGCTCTTTTACGACAATTCAAATTTTGTGTATGAATAAGCTATTGCTCTTGGACCCTGTAATGAGTTTGGGCGTTTACACACATAAATATGCCTGTAGTCCATTATTTTGTTCCCGCCTTGGATGATTTCTTTTGAACACAAATGCAGAACAAAAAGAACGATATTCGTTTACAGGACTTGAATCTCACCCTTGAATATCTTTAATATTTCTTGATGAACTTACACTTAGACAGTCCTGTCAATTAACCTCAACCATCTACTATAAATGCCGGTGTATTTAACATTTTCTTTGGCAAGGCCATTGAATACGTATATAACGTTATTTAGAGTCCATTTTATTTTTATAAATTCATTCATCAATAAAACATACCAAAAATTATCATACAGCAAATCGGTTTAATTATCTGCAGATACTCTCATTACTTTCGATTTATTGTACTGTATATATTTTCGTTGTGGAAGAACTGTTTAGAATTTTATAATCCTGCGTCTCCGTAACGCAATTAATTTCTGAAAATCCCGGCTTCATTTTGAAATTTACAGCATTAGGTCCCATGCTATATGAGTTATTGTATGCTCCAGCAGGTTCACAGTGAAAATGGTTAAATTTGGCGCAAAACTGAAAAATTAACACACGTGACCTAATAATACACGCTATCTGCGATGACTCTTTAAATAACGGGTTATTTATTTTTAAAATTCATTTTATAACTTTAGACAATAAACAATGTGTAGACATTCTGAACTATTCTTATCAAGAATGTTTCGATTTCAGTTACAATTTGTTGCCCAAACTCAAACGATCAAAACAGTTGCACAGATTTTTTTTTACAACATACGTGATTGCCAAAATTTGTACGGTACCGGTAATGCTGTTCTCATTAATCAATGCATTCTGCCTACTCACGATGCATCAAATGGAAAGAAAAATTTAATGTATTCGGCCTTCGGAGTACCCAAAATATGTGTGGGTGTTAAATGAAAGTTGTATTTTTTCTGAGGAAGAGTGAACATCAATAAATATAGCGAAAGTTACTTTAATTTATAAGAAAATATGTTTGTTACAATTACACCAATGTGTAAAATATTACTTGATTGATATCACTAGTATTTCTAGGCCAGACGTTTTCTTTCACATCAAAACGTCACAATGATTGATGGGGCTAAATATGGTATTGCCATTGGAGGATGAATATAATTAACTCTACCCATTTTCCCATGTTCCTGAAGCAACGACTGTGAGTTTTACAACATCTTGCCGTTTACTTCACAATTCCCGAACTTATAGCTATGTGATCTACAGACATGTGAGCAGTAGCGTCCAATCAGAGGTTGTGACATCGCGACTTCCGCAGAAACCTTGACATTGAATGAACCTTGAACTTTGCAACTCGATTGTCACGCCTCTGGTCACAGGTAGACATTTTAGCTTGAAAGCGCGAGACTTGGTGTTCCCGACGATTGAGGAATCTGATAGGCTTCCAAGGTGGGGTTGTACCCAATCGAAATTAGTGCCTACATTTGTAGTGTATTACATGAAGGCTTTGATAAGATGTACCTAGTTAAAGCGACATCAAGCCTTCTATTGAAGGTGCCATTTTCAATGTAAAATAGTTGTGTGTAATGTAAGCTTATAAGTGTTGGTGTTTTATAAGTGAATGAAATCTATTAATTAACTGCCATGGTCAATCAAGTCAATAAAAAAAAAAAACCTGCTTGATTAATTTAATGGATGATTTTTGCAGAACTTTTACATGTATTGGAAAGTTGTGTCTCAACGTATTAGCGATGTGCTCGAAGCTAGTGAAAGAACACTTTCTTTTCAAGGTGGAATTTCATGAACAGTAAGGTACACATGTAGTCCTGGGGAAATGTTGCTTCCTCTTATTAGTCTTAAATATTCTCTTCTCTAGCATTGCACCTTAGCACAAAATGCACAATTATTTCACCATTCTGCCGAACTATGTTGGTTGCTGTTTAGTGCAGCAATAGACATTCTTTACTTGATTATGTCGTCGCCCCTGTCCGTCCGTCCACAATTGTTTGTAAACACTCTACAGGTCACAATTTTTTTCCGATTTGAATGAAACTTGAAATATAGGTTTATCACCCTAAGATCTCGGTTCCTTTCGATATTGGCATGTATCAGACTGTAACTTCATGGATTATGGCCCCTGATTGTACGAAAAATTATGTTTTTAGCTTGTGAACACTGTAGAGGTCACAATTTTTATCCAATTTGGTTTAAGCTTGAAATGTATGTTTATAACCCATAAATCTAGGTTCCTTTTGATATTTGCGCATATCGGACCATAACTTCCTGAATTATGGCCCCTCATTGTACGAAAAATCTTGTTTTTAGCTTGTGGACCCCATAGAGATCACAATTTTTATTCGATTTAAAAAACCGTCACAATATATCACCGTTCCACCCTAAGGATGGTTGAGTTCGAATTTCGTAAGAATCGGACCAAAACTGACAGACAAAATGGCCGCCCCTCGTACGCAAATAGTGTAAACATCTGGTAAATCAAGGTTGTGGACCCTCTAGAGGTCACAATTTTGATCCGATTTTGATGAAACTTGAAATACCTGTTTATAACCGAAAGATATTGGTTTCTTTCGATATTCACGCATATCGGATCGTAAATTCCTGAATTATGGCCCTTGATTTAACAAAAAATCACGTTTTTCTTGTCGGGTCACAATTTTTATTGGATCTAAAAAAAAACGTGAATATATCACAATACACACTAAGATCTTGGTTCCTTTTGATAATCCCGGATACCCGAACTTAACTTCCTGGATTATGGCCCCTGATTGTTCGAAAAATCAAATTTTTAGCTTGCGGATTCTCTAGAGGTCACAATTTCTTCCGATTTTAATAAAACGTTTAAATACATCACCATTCCACCATAATGAAGGTTGAATTCGTATTTCTGGAAAATCGAAATAAAACTGCCCGACAAAATGGACGCTCTTTGTACGCAAATTGTGTAGAAGTGTGTAATACGAAGGTTGTGGCCACAATTTTTATCCGATTTTGATGAAACTTAAAACATATCTTTTTATCCTAAAGATCTCTGTCCCTTTTGATATTTGTACATTTCAGGCCATAACTCTCCGGATTATTGCCTCTGATTGTACAAAAAATCACGTTTGTTTTTAGCTTGTTCTCTATCCATCACTTGCAAAATGTGGGCGTATCCTGCCTGGCAGCTGCTGATTCATTTATACATGTATTTCAATCTTTTTTTTTTCTATAGGATATGACAAGACAGAAAAACAAGGCTCACTGGATGTAAGTTGGATTTGTCTATCTATATTGGCTAAATGCCTTGTGAAGTGAAGTTATGTAAGATAGAATAGTTTAATAATGCAGTTATATTGTATGATGATGGCATGCTGTTGACTCAAGACAATAAACAAAATGTAGATTGAAATACTCAAAGAAGGACATAAACTTTTTAAATTTCTGTGCTGAGATTGTACTTGCAACATGGGTATTTTGTATTTTTTTTAAAAAAAAAGATAGTATAGATTTCCTGGTAGTAAAGAAATCCTATAAATCATCAGAGATATCATAATTATGTAAGCTAACAGTCGTGATAATGTATATTTGCACTAAGGTGCAATGATATACATGTATTAGCCTGGTTCCTACATGGTCAATTTTAAGTTAAAAGTTTAACCAGACAATTTCAGTCAAGATCTGTCATGAAATCCAAATTAAGATTTTTCTGGGAAAATTTCTTGATTTCTATTTTGTTTCTTGTATTGTTAGATCATTTGTATTACTTGTGCTAGGAATAAGCAAGTTTCTGATTGTGATATGAGGGATTTTTAATATCTTGAGAAGTACAATATTGTCTAAGTTCAGTCCAAAAACGGGTAAATTTGGTTCAGCATTTACCAAAATTAAAAAACCCTTTTTTTAACATTCGACAATCTCTACAGAAAATATAACTATGATATGGTCGTAAAAAGCCAGTATCACCTATGGATAGATATCTTTTTTCTGTCAAACTGACTCCAAGCTGATAGCGCCTGTCTATCATTGATAATTTGATTTTTTTTTTTTAATTTAAAAATGTTAAACCAGCATTATGTAATTGTAAGAGCTAAATCTGCCTATTGCAGGTATTTCTTTGGGCCTTAAATGTTTTATGAATTATTAATTGGTCATTTATTAACATGAAAAGAACATAATCAACTCATGATGCAAATGGATGGCTTCGATTTTAAATAGATTAGAACAGCTTGGCCATTTAATAAAATGATTTAATTGAAAACTTTGCTCAAAATAAAGTAATTTGAATGAAATTTTCAATATACAGTAGAATCTGCATTAAGCAGCCACCCAAGGGAATTTTCACGACTGACCGCTTAACGGGAGTGGCCTCTTAATAAAATCTCGGTGCTTTTTGTGCTGACATAAATTAAATATTACGCTTGGATGCATTGGAAGCAAACATCAATACTTGCATCGGTAAATTTGACCGTAGCTGAATCTTGCGCCGAACGAAAATTCTTTACTCAAGTCTCGCACATAACTTCTGTAAACTTGTCATTTTGTACCATCCTTCGATACTACTGTCTACTATTGTGATGCATTCGATAATAATTATCCATTTTTGTGAAGAAAATCGATGAATTAATTGTATTTTATCCAAAAAGCACATAAACAAAAAACCATCGCTGATTTTATCACCTATTTACAGGGGGTGTAATTACGTATGTAATATTATAGGAGGCGCTAAACCGTCTAACAGCAAAGTGGCAATGGAAAAGAGATACTATATGATCGTGACAAAACTCGGTACTTTTATTTTATTCAATCAGTATCAAATCATGTGTCGTTCCGCGTGAAAACAATGATCAGGTTAGTCGTTTAATAAAACCAAAGATTAATTAACAGATAATCCAGGGTTGATTGTTATTTTTACATTTCTTTTTACCTAATCAGTGGGGGTCCAGTTAATTAACTACTACTCACAGGATTAGCGGGGGTGTTACAAAGAACGACAAGATGGTATCATTCAACAATGGCCGTTGAATGGGCGTTGTTTTGTTGAATTTATTATTAAAATAGTGACCGCTGGCCGCGTTAGAGGAGTGACCGTTGAATAAAGAGATGAAATAATAGAATTTTTAGGGGGGAATTTATCATGACCGCTTACAAGGAGATGTCGCTGAATAGGAGTGGCTGCTCATACAGATTCTACCGTATTTATCTTGCATTATCAAATTTTGAAACATAACATTGCATAATTTTACATACATAATATATTTGAGTCCATAAAAAGATTGGATAATATTTTATCTGTAAATTTCAAATGATGATCATCATCATTACAGGTTGGAGGGGGGGGGGGGCGGTTGGATGTCTGAATTGATAGCATGTGCACACTGTATCATAAGGTCTGTCATTGAGTCAACCGGTGCGGTTTCGTGACAAGGTGTAGGGTTGCCTGTCCAACCTCGTGGGTTTTCTCCGGGTCCTCCGGTTTCCTCCCACAGCTAAAGACCCCAACGCGCAAGCGAATTATTGAAATGAGTCCCAAAATGACCTACATGTAGTATGTGTCGAGTGGACATTAAACCCCATTTCTCTCTCTCATTACAGGTTGTTTCAGTTAAATCAAATCTTTATGGATAAGCTTATAACTTACATGTATAATTGATTTTTTACCTCAGGTTAGCATGGCTTCTACTGGGCCAGGAGCTAAAGGTCTACGAGACAGAAAACTGGGTCACAGACGTGTTGATCATGCTGGTGTAGTTACTTATAAAAAGGTAATTTATTTTCTGTTAATATAATCTATTTGTAACACCGTAAAACATAACCAAATTAAATATTCAGCAAATGAAGTTCTTTTTTTAAGGTTTTGCTTAATAATTTAATTGATTGATGCTTGGGGTTTACCAATATCAGATATTGACAGTGAAATATATCGGCCGATACAGATACAAATGCCTATAATAATAATAAATGGTTTATGTGATAATGATACAATATCAAAGCGATAGCTTCCCATCTGTCAACGGTAGCAAACACTTGTTATTCTCCCGTCATTCCCTCCCTTCATCCCAATCAAGCATTACCAACGTGATATTTTCCTGCTTTTTCTAAAACTTCTACATATGACAGTGTGCAGAAAATACCAGTACTGTAGTTACTTACATGTAGATAAAACGAAGAAAAGTATGCAGTGAAGTATTTAGATTTAGTACTATACTGACTGTCAGTGATGAAAGGAGGACCATTGTTTAAGTCCACTGAATGATGACATATGGTATCAGATGTGTAAATTAGGAGTAAAAAAATAATTCAAGTTTGTTACACTGAGTCATTTTGAACAGTTTTCACTACATTATCAGCTTTAATAGCCTCAGAAGCATTTTTATTGTTCAATACTTTACAAAAAGAAAATGCACAATTTATGTGTCTTCTATTTAATTTGGGATTTACATGTGGGAGATCAGCCCCGCTGTTAGCTTCTTGTGCCCCTCCTTTCAAAGAAAGCACAGGACTATGAGTATTAAAATGGGTGTCTGTCTGTCTAATGAAGAGAGACTAAGTTCGATAATGAGCATTTTCTGCTAAGAGTAAGCAGAGTGATAAGCAATTTGATTAGTTGAGACTTTGGAGCTTGACAACTTTGATTTTAATTGAGTGAGAATGGTGAAACTTGGCGTATATCATTACATCAATTGGGACATATAGTTTCATTACATTTACATCAATCTCAGAGTATAGTTTCAGTACATCAGGGGATTAAGTGGGTAAGACGCTAGCTCGCTAGCCTGGAGGTCGGGTGTTCGATCCCTGCATTGGCCGAGAAAGTTCATCCAGATTTTCCGGCGTGGTTTCCCCTTGTCAGTGATGCAGGACGGAGGGCCTGACAAGGAAAGCTGTCTAGTCGTTCGGATGGGACGAAAAACCGAGGTCCCGTGTACACATTGGCGTGCACGTAAAAGATCCCTTGGCAGTTGGAATTCGATATAAGAGTAGGCCGTAGTGCCGCTGTCCGGGCAAAATTTCCCTCATAGCACACTGTATGGAGTATGCCCGTCTTCATTAGCACAGGTTAGGAGCAGAACAGTAGGACGTTAAACTCCATTTCATTTCATTTCAGTACATCAATATCTTGACTAAGTTTGATGATGAGCAATTTAATTAGTCGAGACTTTGGAGCCGGACAACTTTGATCCTAATTGAGTGAGAATAGTTTGAATACAAAAATAGCAAACCATAAGTGGCTTGTAGGCGACAGTATGTCCATTTTCATCAAAAAATGTTGTTGTCATCAGAAAGAAAAGGAATTCTTTCTTTTCATGACAAACCTAAGCCCATAGTGAAGTTAATACTTTCCATGATTCGTGTCCTTGAAGATTGGAGAGTTAACACAACACATGTCTCAAACAAAATGGAAATGTACCGGTAGGTAAGATTGTACCGTATTCTCTAGAAGTATGGCAAGTGTTACATCCATGTGGTATAACTTATATTCTATTATTACAGCTGGTTATACTTAGAAAAAATCTTATTATTCTATAAACTTGGTGACCATTAATTGAAAATATATATTACTTGTACAAACTCAAGTCAACATCTTAACAGGTGACCTACATGTACATACATGTATGTATGCAGTCATTTAGATATTTTATTGAAAGTTCTGTTGGATTTATGCAATTGATTAACACCAATTGATTAACACCAATTATCAATTGGTGTATGTGATATAGAATATCAAATGTGTCTGGAATTTGTGTGTGAAAAGTTAATAATATAGCCTTATTCATCTACTGTACATCTATCTCTGTGGGTTATGTTGGAGGAGAACATATACATTGTAATGTACATAATGTCTGAAAACATTTATATGACATCTCAGAGATTAACGACAAAGTTATTTTAGTTTTGTTAGCTGAAGGAATAGGATGACTGTCATCATTGAATAATTTTCATACCAAACTCTCTTAAAAGTAACTGTATTATATGTTGAGTGTTATAACTTATTGTGTCATACCGAGTGAACCAATAGATTTATTCACAATTAGACTTAAATGCAGTACATTAAAAAGACACTAAGTTGCGCAGGGTAAAGACAGTAAAGTTAACAAAGCCTTATTGTTAGCTATTGTATCTTGTTATTTTTCATAATAATTTAACTTAAGGTAGAGTTGTGCAAAATTCTTTTGTTAAAAAAAAATCACCTGTAGTAACTAGACTACAGAGCTAATTAAGAAGGTAGTGAAGTTTTGAATAATATAATTAGTTTAATTAGAAGACATTTGTGTATTGCACTTGTCATGCTATTAATTATTATAGGTTTTAAATTATATTTTATAATATATATACATATATAACTTTATTTCCTGAAACTTTCAGACAAAGTGAATAGACCTTCTTTCACTTTAGCCATTTGCTTTTCATACTGGGGGGTTGGATGGCCGAATGGTTAGCATGTGCATGCTGTATCATAAGGCCTGTTATTGAGTCAACTGGCGTGGTTTTGAATCCCCGGTTGTACTTGACAAGTAGTAGGGTCGCCTGTCCAGCCTCGTAGGTTTTCTCCGGTTCCTCCGGCTTCCTCCCACTGCTAAAGACCCCTGCGCGCAAGCGAATTATTGAAATAAAATTAAACCATATGTTAGTCCCGAAATGACCTAGTTTGTGTCTAGTGGTCGGTAAATCCCATTTCTCTCTCTCTCTCTCTCGCGCGCTTTTCATACTTTTTGAAATCCACTTTTATTTATTGTCTCCTAAAGAAATCTGGGACTGCTCCTTTAAATGCAATTTGTTGTAATATAAGTCTTTTAAATAGATAACACGTTAATAAAGATTGATATACTGTTAGTTCAAAATACTTTTACGGTTTTGCTGATAAATTCAGGCTTAAATTTTATGAATGGCCTTTTTATATATTTAATGCATCTGATGGCATTTATCTTGGGTTATTGATTATTTTTATAAGTAAATTAAATGATTTATATTAAGCAATAAATATATTTTCACGTTGTCAAGAGAAAAGAATTTATACTAGATTATTACAGTCTATAAAACACAAATCTCGTCATTTACATGTAACTTTCACAAGTTTACTATTAGAAATTTGAAATATTACATAAAGATTAACCAAAATTAGAAATGTTGCAGTGGACTTTCTAGTGCTAGATAATAATTTATTAGGCTAAACAAAACCCGGATTTAAGTAACAAGAAACTTTTTATGCACTTAAATCATTATTTAAAAAAAACAACCCTCATTTGAACTGTGTTGAAGGTGAAAAGAATATCTTAATTTGGATGTAGTATTTCCTTGTCAGCTGTGAATATACTATGCATTTCTGAAAAAAGTATTACACTTTAAGTTATAGCTGGATGAATTTTATATTTATTAAGCTTATGTATATATACATGTATAATTAAATAATGTTATTATGACACAGTGGCTTTTTGTTTGTGCTAATGTGATGACTTATGAGGTGACATCTTGTATTTTGTAGAAACCTACTAGTGAGCTTATGGCTGCTATACAGTTAGGTATGGGACAAAGTATTGGAGGTTTATCATCGAAACCAGAAAGAGATGTATTGATGCAAGATTTTGCTGTGGTAGAAAGTGTCTTCTTTCCAAAGTAAGAACTCTATTGATTTTATAATAAGTTATGGGTGGCAACAAGCCAGATTGTGTACAAATATGTCTTCAGCAGTAAGTAAAACTATAAATGGGCTAACTTTGAAATTACAGGTAGAAATTTCCATTAATAATTATCTCTACAAAAATGATATATTGACATTATTGTATAAAGAGTGGTCTAGAAATATAGATTCAGAGAAATCTTAAGCTCCTAGTTTTGTTTGTTTTTTAAAGCCATATTGTGAAAAGTTTTAGCTTTGTTATTGTTACTCTCAAATGGCAATGGTCTACTTTTTAGGCTTTTGTACAAATCTTATATTTAGACATAATAATAAGTAAACTTAGTTATTCACATCATTCTATTATATAATTAAATTGATCTTTATACATCTGTCATCCAAATTTCTTGTAAAGCAGAAAAATTAACTATCCAGTTTGCTTGGAATTTACATTCATTGTTGAGATTAATGAAATGAGTCCTTTCAAAATTTAACAATAAAATTACTGACCCGTGCCTCACTTTCTAGAAACTTGCGAATGCTTTATCTGCTCTAAATGTTATGGCGGTGATTAACAATTTCTGGTACAACAATTTTAGATAATTACTTACAGAGTTATTGCAGGGGTCATGGTGGGTAAGAAGCTGGCTCGCTAGCCTGGAGGTCGAGTGTTCAATCGCTGCATTGGCCGAGAAAGTTCATCCAGATTTTCCGGCATGGTTCCTCCATGTCAGTGATGCATGCCGTAGTGCTGCAGTCCGGGCAAAATTTCCCTCATAGCATACTGTATGGCATATGTCCGTCTTCATTAGCCCAGTTCAGAGCAGAACAGTAGGACGTTAAATGGAATCATCGTATTTATAACATAGTACACTATCAAAATAACTGTATTATTTGGACTATGGACTTGCAGCTTAGTGTTGAAGTATATTTAACCATCTCTAAACTCTGAGTGTGTCTCTAGCACTATTTTGCTGTGAAGACTTATTAAAAAATAGTTGTATAGAGAAGACATGTTCTCACAACTCAAAGCATAACTAGAACTGCGGTGCAGTAATGACAGATTTCACGGGTGCCACGTTACCCTTGAACTTACAGTACCTCTCAAATTTTCAGACCAGAATTGCACGAACACCGCGGGAAAAAACCACTAAGAAATTGCTAAGTTTCACGGTGAATTTCCGCCAGGATTCGTTCAAAAACACTGTGTTAGGAAAATACCGTGTATCGCCATGCTTTCGCGCAAGGAATTCATGAGCTTTTCGTCGACACCCCCCCCCCACCCCCCACCGACTTTTATACGGTAGCAGGAATGTTGTTATTTCTCAAAGTATTACTAAGTGTTCACATTTACCGATGGCCCAAAACTAGTCACGCTTGGAAATACATGTACATTATGTAGCTACGGTTTCATCAAGTTTATCAGTAGTGTATTACTATCACAAAGTATTTCACTCTTTACTATGTTTCCTATTAAATGTCTTCATTTATGGCATTTGTAAGTTCTACTTTCCTACGTAAAGAAGACAACTTAAAACAATTCCACTGAACGAACGTTTGAATATATCATAATCAGTAATAGATCTACTTGAACACATAAACTACCTGTTCTCTTTTGCCGAAATTAAGTTCATTCACTTCCACCAAGGATGATATCATAGACAACCGAAATTAAGGAAATCTTTATCCGTTTATATTCCAATGAGTAATGCACAACGTGTATAAAACTCGTTCACATGGCGAATGAATACATATCAAATAAGTCCCCTAATCTGTAGAATATATATTACACGCTACGTGGTAATCCAGCAGGCCTCGGAAACTGTTCACTGCCTTGACCGGGTTACCGATCCTCTGTGATTTATGATACATGGAAATGTTTGATGGGACTGGTTAGTTTAAATAAAGAGTGTGATGTAGAATTATGTTAATTTATTTATTTTAATTAATAAAGCACTATGCAACGTGATCCAGCTCTACAATTTTTTACTAAATTATGAAATAAAGTTTGTGTTTAATTATATTAGCACTTTATTTACTGTGGAAAAGGATGTTTTTCTTAGGGAGGCAGACTGTTTTTATTTATAGAGAATAGCTTGCTTAACATTCATATTGTATATGATAGAAGATGATTACATTGTAATAATAACTTTAACGTGTCAACCTTATAGAGTGAAATGGCTTCCTGTAGATTTGTCAAAAGCCTTTGTCTCTTAGCTTGGTGGTTGAGAAGTATTAACGTTTGTTTTATATAACATTAATTGGAGTAATTAGAATCAAAGAACATTTGCCGTAACTTGGTACAAAAGTATGTATACGCACGCATAAATGACAGGTTAGTCAAATGATTATTTCGAGATTAAATATAAGATAAGTGATTTCAAAGACAATAGACGTATATGGTCACAGCAGAGATTTTACGCCCACTTCCAACTACATGTTGATGATGTCGCGTAAGAATACATGTAGACACTCAATGTTTTGGTGTGTAATTGACCATGTGACATACCGCTGTGTGCATCGTGGAGTGATTTATGGTATGGCACTGTGCTGTATAGATGGTTAATTTAGATTAACTGAAATTGCCAGTAATGATGTAATTGTAAAACCTTATCGTACATAATTTAAAATTTGGATTTGATAACAGCCAATGATTAATGAATCACATCTACGTGTTACGATGTGGAACTTATAGACGAAGCCCAAATGATACGTTTAAGAAATTGTAAGTTGTTCACTGTTTGCATACATGTACATGTATAGCCCAACATGCACATTCAAAATTTTAACCGATATAGATTGCCGGGGAAGTTGGATTATTATACATGTACACGTTTTCGCGGCAGCATTAAAATTTATTGTAGCCAATATTAGTTTGATCCTAGCTTCCTCGCTCAAGATTAACATACATGTATTCAACTTAAATAAAGTACATTTTTCTTCAACATGCTAGAATCGGGACCATATCGGCACGCAAGTGATTCACCGTGTTTCACCGCAAAACTCTGTGATCCACCGTGAAACTCTGTGATATGGCATGCTAGCGATTCGCTAAGGATGCCCCGTGGAACTCAGCGTTTTTGGCGATTCTAGTCTGAAACTCTAGCCGTGTACTGTATGTCACTTCAGGTACCACCACGCTTCCCTTGAATTTAATGTCATATCTGGTAGCAATGAAACCGTTAAACAGATTTCCAAATAAGCATTGCACACGTGTGCAAAATCAACCAAATCCAACAATATGTATTCTCGGCAACTGGTAATATTACAAATTCATTTTGACAAATAGTGTCTTCGTTGGGATTATTGCTATAGGTTTATGAATGTTGTCAAGAAATATTTTAAAATATAAAAATCCTGAATGCATTGTAAATAGTCATTTTCACACCTTTTCTTCACATTTAAAACAAAATGGCGCAAATACAAAACCCAAATAAAAAAGCTAAGCCCGAAACATTTTGCGTCTATAGTAGGAGCATTTAACACCGTTCGACTTTCAGGGAATGTAGCTCGTCGACACGTGTTCTCCAAATATCAGAAAAGAATACAGTTTCTTGGAATGGATCTTCAACACTTTAGTTCAGGAGCAAATAATTAACAGCAACAATTTAACAACTTATAATTTCCTATGTATTGGACCTCCAACTAGTATAGGTTCCCTAAGCTGGTCTCTCCAACTAATGTCCTCATCTAACATACATTTGTCTATTTATACAAATCAGTTACTTAGAAAGTGTTGACATAAACATATAATTATTGAAGGATTAAGACTTAAGGCATTTAAAACAATAGTAATAGTTAGATGAGACTTGACAGATCAACCACTTTAGTTGCCAGCCTGTCATAATTTGACTGACAGGTTAATTGCTGCCTGCCTCTAATGACTAACCAAGCATTAATGAAAATTAAAATATAGATTTGAAATTTAAAACAGAATTGAAAAATAATAAAATAACATATGACCTAGACATCGGTCATATATCCCCCTTACTTCAGACAAAAACATGACCCCATGTTTTAAGCATTTAATAAAATCAAAAATCCTTATTTTTCGATTAATCAAAGTAACATAATCTATCCCTTTTTTCCTGATAATTTCTGTTTCTGTACATAGGATTCATGTGAGGCATAAAATAATGTTCTTGCAAATTGTACTGGTTAACTTTTTCATCAGGTAAACGTAACCTGAGTCCTTATATTCTATTTGAATTCGCATTTATGTATTGTTGAGCACTTTAATCTAGTTCCTCCTCCAGAACCCAAGAAATCGAAGTTGCTGGACAATTCTTCCACTGAATGAGATATTCTTGTTTTGGGTTCTTAACTCTTTGTCTAAGCACTTTGTCGGATACTTGTACAGGTGGATTTGTTGAACAAACTCCTACATGTCGATGGTCTTAACTGCTGGTACTTTTGGCACTAGAACTTGAAACATCTTTCATCGCTGCCTCACTGTCAAAATTTATTTGACAACCTTTATCATGGCTATTGGCAGGATGACACATTGTTTCTCTTGTCACCATTAACACAGGGTTATTCCCAACAGCCACATCTTTAGTATCAGGAACATTTTGGACACCCAACATCCTTTTTACTGGAGACCACAGAAATCTGTACTTTTTGGGCATCCTTCTTAGCAAAAAATTCTAGCTGCTGCTGTCTATCCATTTGTCTTTTGGCAAAAGAACGATATTTCTTTTCCGAACTGGGTAATGAATTTTCTGAGAAGCCCCATTTAAAGCTGATTTCTGTAGAACCCCTATCCTGTTTGAGACTCCAAGACATTGGTAGTTGATTCAGACTTCTTATTGCTGCTACTGCTGCTGAAGGAAGAATAATGTTGATATCCATCCTTTCTTCTTCCAAATATGTTTACAATTTATCTCGCTTAGCTGTACCGGAATCAAGAGTAGACAATTTTGTTCACTCTGCCCGGCATCTCCACCATATAACACCGTTCGACTTTCAGGGAATGTAGCTCGTCGACACGTGTTCTCCAAATATCAGAAAAGAATACAGATTCTTGGAATGGATCTTCAACACTTTATTTCAGGAGCAAATAATTAACAGCAACAATTTAACAACTTATAATTTCCTATGTATCGGACCTCCAACTAGTATAGGTTCCCTAAGCTGGTCTCTCCAACTAATGTCCTCATCTAACATACATTTGTCTATTTATACAAATCAGTTACTTAGAAAGTGTTGACATAAACATATAATTATTGAAGGATTAAGACTTAAGGCATTTAAAACAATAGTTAGATGAGACTTAACAGATCAACCACTTTAGTTGCCAGCCAGTCATAATTTGACTGACAGGTTTATACACAGTGTTTAAGGTCGTGAGACAAAGAAGCCCAGTGATTTTCAATGATTTCCGATAATTACTACCAGAGTTATGGCCCTTGACCACTTTGAAAATCTTGTGGATGCCCTAGAGACCAAAGTTATCATCCGATTGACTTTAGATTGATAAACAGAGTGTAAGGTCATGAGATGAACAAGTATATTGATTTTCAGTGAATTTTGATAACTTGAACAGCTAAATTCATGATATTAAATGTTTTGTATACTAAATGTCAGCATGGGGCAGAACTAAAAGCCAAACAAATTCTAATGATTATCTGATAATTACTTAATGAGTTGTTACTCTTAATCAGATTTTAGTGTATTTGACCCAAAAATTTATCAGAATCTGATCCAAAACTGCGCAGATTGTCACAGGACACAGGAATTTGACACGTTTATGATCTGCAGTCAAGAGCTTTGGGCACCCATCTTGCAGAAACTTTTGTCATTCCTAACTCGATGGCAATGATAACGTACTGAACCCTCTCATGAAAGATGCCCACTGGCAATATGTTGAGTGGTTAATTGTCGATCAATCAACGTCATGCACCCGGGTAATGTTTTCATGAATCGATGCTGTGGATGGCCTTCCACAATGTAGGTCATAGTCAAGGTTCTCTCTGCTACGTTTAAATTCCGCAGCTCACTTTACTGTTGAAAAAAGAAGGCGACCATGGCGACATTTATCTGTGTTGGGATTAGTTCTTTCAATTGTAGATACTTGATGACTGCCTATAGCCAGTTTTGTCCATTTCTGGTGACTTCAATGGGTACGTTCACTAGATGGTCTGATTCGAAGACATTCGTAACATTACATATTGAGTTTCAGCAAATTTCCGTTAATTACATCTAGAGTTATGGCCCTTGTTTAACTTTGTTGAATCTTGTGAACGCTTGAACGTCAGAAGTTATTACCCGATCTTTGTAAAATTTATATGCATGATTTCAATTAGTGAAACGAAGAATCCTATTGAATTTCAACAATTTACAATAATAACCTTGTTAATGCTTGATTGATGAAAGTTATCATCTGATATGTATGAAATATTTATATGCATCATTTAAATTTGTGAAACAGTGGTCTATTGAATTTCAGCAATTTTCGTCAAGTTATGGCGATTGTGAACCTTGTGAAAGTTCGAATGACAAAAGTGATCATGTGATCTACATATGCATTATTTAAAATAGTAAAATGAAAAGCCTGTCAAATTTCAACAATTTCTGTAGATTACTTCCAGAGTTGAGACCCTTGTTTCAGTTTGTAGAACCTTGTAAACCCCTCAAACGACAAAATTTATATTCTGATCTGTATGGAACTGTCTTGTAAAGGCCCCCAATTACCTACAAAGGAATAAATATGCGACAACCCTTGTCGACCGCTCGGACGATTTAGCTGCTGTGGGCATATGTTTCGTTGCCTGGCAACCTATCTTTATATATGTCATTTTATATCATCCTATTATAAATATAATAGTTATGTGTTGTTTTATTTTACAGAGAAGGAAGTAATTTGACACCAGCACATCAGCACAGTGATTATCGTTTTAAGACGTATGCTCCTGTAGCTTTTCGTTATTTTCGTGAATTATTTGGTATTCAACCAGATGATTTTATGGTTTGTTTCTTTATGTTTATTAATTATCATAAAGTTGAACTTTAAGAATATTTATTAATGTTTCAACATGATCGATATTAATATTTTAGCAATTCTTGTTAACTACATGTAATAACCTATTATAGGGATGATGATTTTCCACTTCAGATATGGGCAAATTCCATTTCAGATTTTAGTCAATTCCATTTTTTTCCATTTCACAGTAAGACATGGGTATTACTGAATCCATCATGGCCGATTGATGTTTCTTTGATTCAATATGATCCATCACCCTATTACTGTGTATATAATCCACGCTGTGTGAACAAAATTTACAAAGCATAATACCGTCATCTTCATAAAAATGGTTTTGAAATTGTTTAGCCGGATTTTCAGCTGTAATTTGTGTGATGGAGATTGATCTTCTCGCCGTTTTAGCAGTCGACAACTCAATTCCTCATTCGAAGTTTAAGCCAATGAAAGGCTTTCAAAAGTGTGACATCGATGTCATGACCTCTAAGAATATTTATGATCTGCATGTACTCTCAACTCGAGAGACAAGAAACTTACCTACGGCTACTTTGATAGTTTTGGTAGGAATTGTAATAATTTTTTGGAAAAAACAAGGTTAATTTAGATGACATTAAAATATTTTCTTTGGATATTTCACTTTTTCCACTTGACTGCTCATTTATTTATGAAATGTTTCTTCATTATTACTTGACCAAGTTTGTTTAGAACTCGCTTCGTCTGTTTGGACTTGGACTATGTGAGTTTTCGTTTAAAAATTCTTTGTAAATGGCTTATTTTATAAAATTTCATGATTTTTACACAAAATAGATTTCATGATTTTTACACAGAATATATTTCATGATTTTTACACAGAATAAATTTCATTTTCCGTGATTTTCCGCGAATCCATTTCACAATGTGAATTTAGCATTTTCTGCTGTTTTTCCAAGATCGCGGAAAATCATCCTCCCTACTATTACTCTATACCATCACTAATACTATGTTCATGATTAGACTAATCATGTTTCATAAGGCTATTCAATATGTTCAAGTACTGTAGTAGGTTCAATTGCCTAACTTTTCTGTTTTCCTTCTCCTGTTACAGCAGTCTATGGTCAAATGAATTATTAAAATAAAGCAATATGATGACAGCTGTTTTATGCCTAATTTGGTCCACTTAATCATTCAAAAAACCTCAACCAAATCAACATTGCAGGAAAATGAATATAATTTTATCCCTTTCTATTGATAAAACGATGCAATGGCTGAATGATCATTGTTCTAGGTGGTTAATTGTTGAAAAGTAGGATCAATAACTACTCCTAAATATTGCACTTGCCAATATTTCCAAGTGAAATTACATGCAATTAACATTACTGCACTTAATAGTAGACATTGGCCTTTAGTCCAGTAAATAGCCTAGTTGAGTCGACGTCTGATGCCACTTCCTGATTTCCCACCTTCCTTCTTACACCAATTTTTAAACATTATCTGCTTGCTGTTTGTCCTCCTATTCTTAATAAATGATGGATTTGGTGAGTAAGCATATCTGATTAAAATACAGATCTATATTTCGTTTCGTTTTTTTATACTGTCGATGGCCTTCACTACATCAAGATATGACAAGTTATAGCGATAGGTCACGTCAGGGGTCAAAAGACCGACTTTTGACCTATGACGTCAGACATTTGATCAACCAATCAACATTGATGTTACTAGTGGATTACCCACAGTTCCGGGCAAAAAAGGTCAAACACTCGATTCGACAGACCATTTGATTGGCTGACCCCTCATTTCAAGCAGAACACAAGTTAAATAACAAATCTTCCAGATCCAAGTGTAGTAAAGACAAGTAAAACGAAATTTTGAACTATAAAAATGAAACGAAATAGGATCTGTATTTTAACCAGATTGGTGAGTAAGCTTAGTAATTGTTCCGGTATATACAATGTTAATATATATTTGTCACAGATTTTTATGTAATAAAATATTATCATTGTAGATGTCATTATGTGATGAACCATTACAAGAATTAAGTAATCCTGGAGCTAGTGGTAGTATATTTTATATAACACAAGATGATGAATTTATTATAAAAACAGTACAGCATAAAGAAGCTGACTTTTTAACTAAACTTTTACCAGGATATTTTTTGGTAAGTCAACTATCTTGGACATCTTTTATCAACTGCAATTCCTTGGAATTATTGTCTGTTTTTTTGTTGTTGTTTTGTTTTAATTATGCTGCTACATCAACCATAGTCACTGTAATATTTATGCATTTTCCTATAATTCCAACCAACGTAAAGTCCTGTGCTCCTATGCAGACAATTTGATGTTTGATTAGTCAATCAGTCGACTGACATAATCTGAATTCATGCGTCAAAGGAAATGAAGAGTTCAGGGGAAGAATGATCTAAGTCACATTTTTGTCTTTTTGCATAAAAGGCAAAACAGACTTTTGGACGAGAATGCATGACTCGAACAGAATAACGAGTGGGTTTAATTACAACATCAAATTATGTTTAATATGAATCATAATCATACAACAACTGACTTCCACTTTTCAGCAAAGTTAAGGTCAAACAAAGGGTACGATGGACATATTTGTCTGGGAGGCCGTTTCAAAAGGGACTTGGTTCAATGTGACTCTGATCGTTTTGACCTGAAATTGTTTATTCCACAGAAAGCTTATACAATTTGCTACCAGATGGCGCCATTAACTGGGGTTCGTTGAAAAAGCAACTTAGATTGTTCTTCCTGGCAATGTACTTGTAATAGAACACGGGGGTTGGGTAGGCGAATGGTTATTAACACACACAAGTTTTGATCATAATTTCTGTTATTGAGTCAAGTGCTGTGGTTTCGATTCCCCACTTGCAACAAGGAGTAGGGTTGCCGGGCCCAACCTCCTGGGTTTTCTCCGGTTTCCTCCTACTGATAAAAAAAAACTATGAGCTTGAAATAAAAGTGAACCATATGTTAGTCACGATGGAATGTGCCAAGTGAATGTTAAACCTAATTTCTCTCTCTCTGTAATAGAACAGTAATAAAAGAGTTGACAACATATTTTAATCAGACTGACTGAAAAACTAAATAAAGGATAAACCGAGCTAATCTAAATCATTACTTACCCAGTTATTATATTATGCAAACTTGTTTAATTACGTCTTGATTATTTAAAGTAACTGATTTTATAAATATATTTACTTACAGAATCACAGTCAAAATCCCAGAACATTACTGCCTAAATATTATGGTTTATATTGTTATCAGGTATGTAGCATTTAACAAGAATTGATTACTTTATAATAGATAATACTAGCTCTCACTGTTAATTTACTTGACAATTTACCGATTTTAAAAGAGGATCACCTGCAGCTTGGGACACCATCATATGTTTGGAACACAATAAGTCATTGAGCTAGAATATTTAAACTGCATTTAGTTGTACATTTGATGAATGCATTGATATTTTCTGCTTAGGATAAACCGTGATAATTAATTTAATTCATCAAGAAATTTTGGGACATAATAACTTAGCTTCGTCTAATTGAATTAGAATGTGTGCAAACTTGGTGTTTATGTTCATTAGGTGAAAGTCTTGACTCATGATGTGCATTCTGTGTTTAGGCTAAGAAGAGATAAGCAATCTGATTGACAAGACTTTAGAACACAATAACCCTGTTTCTAATTGGAGTGGGGGGAGGGGGCATTGGTGTATATTTTCTATCAATACCATGACTAGGTTTGATAATGAGCATTATCTGCTTAGGTTATGCCAAGTGATAAACAATTTGATTGCATGTTGATTTACGAAAAGGTAAATGAGCAAGTAATTAATGAATATAATCAATTGATTTGGGGATAATTAATTGTTTATTAAGAATATTTTAAAATGGAGCATCCAATTGTTTGTAGAGACAAAAAGATTAAAATTTGTAAATATATTCAGCCTGACTATCTTAAAGATGCAATTTGTATATTTCAGTGTGGAGGAAAGAATATTCGATTTACTGTTATGAATAATTTACTGCCATCATCAATAAAAATGCATGAGAAATATGATCTGAAAGGTAGTACGTACAAAAGAAAAGCATCCAAAAGTGAACGTGCCAAATCAAATCCTACTTTGAAAGATTTAGACTTTAATGAAAATCATCCTGAAGGTATTCTAATGGAAAAAGAATATTATGATGCTCTTATAAAAACACTTAACCGAGATATTAGGGTAAGTATCCGATTTAGATAATTTGAAGTTTGTTTAAATTATAGAAAGGTCTTGTTTTGTTAATCTGCGGTTCACCGTTAATCTGAAGTTCTGCTGACAATCACCTTTAACAAAACATTAAATGATATGCTCAAGTTATTCAGTGGGATCCTGAAATATTTTTGTAATGACAGATTTCAAAATCTTTTGAAATACAAGTCAAAATCCATTGTTTATGGTCAAGTTTGATATGCTGAGTCTGAACTATGTATGAGTAAATATCAGACATCAGACCTGACCTGAAGTAACATGTTTATATTGTTAATAGATATTTCTTGATTACACCATATCAAAAATTTAAATTACTTCTTCTTCATGCTCAGATTATAACATAACTAAAGCACTATTCTCTGACCATTCACACCATTTTATACTGGTGTTACTTATCATTTAACCATATCACATCCTGACATGGTTAATATAGCACATCCTATTTCATTTAGGTTTTATTATCAGTCAGATATTGTTTCTTGGAATTGTATTTACAGGAATATAATTCACATTTAATTAACCTTGATTTTCTAACAAAATATACTAGCATATTACTAAGCCTATCACTGCCAAGCAATAGATTTGGTAAGGCTTGATTTCAGTTATCTTATAATACTGGCCACAGCAATCTGATTAAAACACACATCCTCTTTCGTTTCGTTTTTTTTATAGTTCAAAATTTCGTTTTACTTGTCTTCACAATACTAGGATCTGGAAGTAGGTGTCACAACTCCATTGCTCGCATTGGAAGAAAGTGTTTTTTCCCAATTTGTAACCTTTTTTAAACTTAACGTCACATAGTCGCTATTTAATCTTTTGCAATATTTTTAACATATTTTTAAAGCCAGTTTCTTATGGTTTTGTTTGATATATTTTTTATGAACCTGATCATATTATTAATTTCATAAACATAAGTTGAAAAACTTCAATTTTGTGTGTTTTGACGTTACGGTAAAAAAATTTGTCGCGTTTTGAAACGGGGGTACCATTAGATAATTGAACTACCTTTCGATCGGTCGGGGGTGGAATGTTGGCATTTAAAAATACTATGTATATTTTTTAAGTTGAAAAAACAATTCATGCTCACTTTTTATGAGGTAATTTGTCAAGATTCCACCCCTGACCGATCAAAGGTTGTTATTGCCGTTCCGATGCTATTAAAATCAATAAATCGGAGCATGTTAAGTGCTGCCGCCGAGCACTTGAAAATGGTATACAACGTGACATTTTGTGGACAAATAAATCTCGTAGTCTTTCGTGTTATGATGTCATAAGACACCGCGAAGAAAAACTGTATTTCAAGTCCCCAAGACCCATATTTGCGGTAAATTACGTCGAAATGCAACTGAATGTTCATTTATGAAGTAAGCGTTACATTATATGAATAAAGGACTTGCCCAAAAATAGTTAATTCCATTTATTTTCACGATTTCTGCAAGGGTGACTGTGTTGACATCACGTGACTCATATTCCCGCGCTTCTACACTGAAGAGTTGTTATATAACAGGCGTTTTAGTTGATGTGAGGAATTAGCCAATGAAACTGCGAGTTCTTGGTGTGGTTAAAATCCTGCAAACGTCAACGCTGATTGATTAATCAATGTCTGACGTCATATGGTCAAAAGCTGCTCGTATGACCCCTGATGTGTCCTCCCAGTACAACCGGTCAGATCTTCATGTAGTATAGGCCATTGAAAGTATTTTAAAAAAAAAACGCAATATAGTTAAATGTATTTTTAATCAGATTGTGGCCACAGGAAAAAAACTATTGAATTTATGTAAATTATTGTCATATTTACTGCAGGTTTTAGAAAGTTTTAAGATAATGGACTTCAGTTTATTAGTTGGTATACATAATCTAGATGCTGTGGAAAGAGAAAAGGGACATACTAGAGTTGTATCAGAATGTAGTGAATATGATTCAGGTTATCCACATCAAGATTCTGTAGACACACAACAGGGTAAAGGTAAGTTTTATTTGTATTAGCAGTACATTGTTCTTTCTACAAACTGATAGACAATGCAACCAAACGATTCATTGGTACGTAGGAACAACAGTATATGATTAAAACACACACAATTAATATTTAAGGAGGTGTTGCCACTGTCGGCTAAAATCATGAAAATATGATTACTTTTGAAACAACCTTCGAACTCACTTAAATTTAATAATCATATATCTGATCCACTTAGCACATTACTTTTGATGAGCGTTCGTTAAATTTAGGTAAAAAACTAAAAATAATTGTACACTTATAGATTGACATGTCTCATCATGGCTGGTGTCTAAATATTGCATGCAATCAAACTTGAATAAATTAGATAAATTATTTTGTGAAGTTCCTAAAAACAGTAATGCCTTAAATTTAGGTAAAAAACTAAAAATAATTGTACACTTATAGATTGACATGTCTCATCATGGCTGGTGTCTAAATATTGCATGCAATCAAACTTGAATAAATTAGATAAATTATTTTGTGAAGTTCCTAAAAACAGTAATGCCTTCTTGAAGCAAAATGAAATATATTAATGGTCAAAATGTTGGCTCTATAATCAAAAATGTGAAAAGTAAATTTGACACAGAACAGAATAACGATGAACCCAATGATAGGGTATCAGGTGTTCTGGAAAGAGTATACTATTCTTTAATTGTGTAATTTAATTTATTTCTAGTTAATACAAGTTTACAAAGAGGGAAGTCTTTTAAAACACGATTAGCTCAGTATTCAACAGCTCTTGAATCAATCACAGCCAAAACAGATATAGAAGAAAATGAAGATGAGAACTTTCCGTAAGACATCATATTACTATTCTCTGTATGTTTATGAAGATGTTTTATATGTGTGTGGGGAACCACGGCGTCTAAGTGCGTAAGATGCGTGTTCGATCCCTGCATTGGCCGCGAAAGTTCTTTGGGATTCTTCCGGCGTGGATTCTCCCCTTGTCAGTGATGCAGGACGAATGACCTGACAAGGACAGCTGTCTAGTCATTTGGATGGGACGGAAAACTGAGGACCAGTGTATACATTGCTGTGCACTTAAAAAAATCCCCTTGCAGTTGAAATTCGATATAAGAGTAGGCCATAGTGCCACTGCCTGGGCAAAATTTCCCTCATAGCACACTGTATTAGCCCAGTCGGAGCAGAACAGTAGGATGTTAAACCCCATTTCCTTTCTTTTCTTTTCATTTCATTTTTAAATGTGTGTGAAATATATCAAACCGATTCCATTTTCATGCACTCAGCTTAGAAGCATCCAACCACAATTAATTTCGTAACATTTGGTCAAAATATATCAAGTATAGTTTTGTTAATGCCACGTTCTGTAGTGCATTAATTACAAATAAATCACATATAGATTTAGTTACGTTTTAGAGGGTTTTTTTTATTATAGACCTGGAGGCATCCCAGCTAGAAACCAAAAAGGAGATAGATTATTGATATATCTTGGTATTATTGACATTTTACAATCATATAGACTAAAAAAACGACTAGAACATCAAATCAAGTCTCTTGTCATAGATGGGGTAAGTAAAATTAACTAACACTACAGCAAGTTCTTTTTTACACTCTCAAATGTAGGCCAAGAAGTAAAGTGTTAAGCCAGTTGTTAAGATAGAACAAAAACCAAGAGTATGTTGAGGTTCATGTAAAAATCTTTGACAGTTTAGATTTAATGCAGACTGGACAGAAACTTCAATGCTCGTTCCTAGCATTGCACATGTGAAGTTCATTTTAAAGGAGATTTGTTCTGCGCCATTTTGTTCTTGAGCCTCTGTGAATCAACCTACTAAAAAGATGAGTGATTTAATAAAGCCAATGTAGCATGTTTTGGTTTCTTGTAGTTTACGTAATTTTATTTCTCTGTATCTTGTAGGATACCATCTCAGTACATAGACCAGGTTATTATGCCAACAGATTTGCATCATATTGTGCCACAAGAGTCTTCAAAAAAATACAAACTCGTGAGTTTTATATGTTTCTTAGAAGAATATAATTTGATGACTTGAATTTTCAAACATAAGTTTCATCTTTGTTTTGGTGGGGGGGTGGATGAATGATCTAAGACATGACTTTAGATCATAAGGTCTATAATTGAGTCATGATGTGTTGTTTTGATTCACCACGTGGGTTTTCTGCGTTTCTGCATGTGCTAATGACGCCTACGTGCAAACTAATTATTAAAATAAAATTGAACAATATGTTAGATTTCTTTTTGTATTGCTTAATCAGTTTGAATTAAAATTCAACTAATGGATATATTATAAATAATATTGTAAGTTCCCTATATTGTCTATAACTATTAAAGTTGTCTTTACAAGTTGTATTTTTCCAAAACATTTCTCATAAAGAATTTAGTTGAATAGTATGATTTAAGGAAATTGGGTATTGATAGAAAAATTTGATGGGATAAGTTTGTATTTGTTTGATTTTTCTTTAGCTTTAAAGCATTCTCCTTCAAAGAAGAAAGGATATGCAGGAAGAGCTCGAGCTCAGACAACTATACCAGAACAAACAGAACCAGGCAGTGCCATACGTAAAGTACCAGAAAAAACACAGAGAACCATCAGTTTCTCTGATGAATACAGTAAGATAATTGTTACTTCTTGAAGAATCAGGCTTGAAACATGCACATATCAATTTAATGAAAAAAATGCTAGCATACTGCTCTTATGATAAATTTACTTAATAAATGTACCTAGCTCTTTGTACCATGTGAGCTGGCACGATCCAACAACTCATTTTGCAATTTCACAAACCTGTATTTACTTACTATCTTGAATTTACAATTTGCTTTCATTAATAAATCTGCTTGGTTTGTTACAAAGTATCGTCACTGGTGTCCAGCCACACTGGGAATTAATTTTATTTATTTATTGTTGGATCACGTGGCTAAGTGGGTAAGACGCTAGCTCGCTAGCCTGGAGGTCAGGTGTTCGATCCCTGCATTGGCCGAGAAAGTTCATCCAGATTTTCCGGCGTGGTTCTCCCTTGTCAGTGATGACAGACGGAGGGGCTGACAAGGAAAGCTGTCTAGTCGTTCCGATGGGCTGAAAAACTGAGGTCCCGTGTACACATTGGCGTGCACGTAAAAGATCCCTTGGCAGTTGGAATTCGATATAAGAGTAGGCTGTAGTGCCGCTGTCCGTGCAAAATTTTCCTCATAGCACACTGTATGGCGTATGCCCGTCTTCATTAGCCCAGGTTAGGAGCAGAACAGTAGGACGTTAAACTCCATTTCATTTCACTTATTTATTTATTTTTTTTGTGCAGATCCGTCAGTAGCTATGAGTGGTAAACCAGATTTATTACCTGATGCTTCTAATGATACAAAATATCAGTCTAATCCCAGTATAACAGATATACCAACAACTCAACAATCATCTAATATAAATAACAAAGGTGATCGACTCAACAAAAGGTACATAACCATCTTCTTTTTTATTTTTAATTTTACCACCTTCAAACATTGTTATTTTTAGCGGCTAATTGTAGTTGCCATTTGCCAGCACATACACACATTTGCCACATATTTTACATTTCGCTGTTTATTTTTTCTGGAGAGAAAAATTGTCATGCCGTGTAAAATTGTTTTTTCGTCGTATGTCTGCCATGTTTGTATAGTTTATTACATATTGATATATTATCCAAAATGTTTTATCCTCTCTAAATTATTGTTTGAAAATTTTTCTCCTTTCGAAATTTTGCACTGCAGATGCATGAATTTTTGATAATATTGTTTGTGCCAATTTTCTCCAAATGATATTGTATTTGATATACAGCAGCCCACATTGTTTACTGTATTGTTTTGATATTTGTTTGTTTAAATGTTGCCAACAGGAATTGGTACAGGTAATCTGTTCACATGTATTTTATATATTTTAGAAGTCAGTATTTAGCTACATGTGTATATAATAGGTTGGCCAGCTTTACACCCCAAATATATTAATCAACTAGGGTTTAGCATGATTAGATTGTGCTGGATGCAATTAAATTTCCTTACATGTTCTTTGATTTTGTTGAAGGACACAGCACTAAGATTGGTTTTACTAAGGTTTGGAAGATTTCACTAAAACCTGATACCATTTTGAATAAAGCAATCTGGATGTCTAATATAATAAAGGCTCAACAAGCATCATAAATTTAAAAAATCTGTATATAACTTTTATATAATTCATTCATGATTTCAAAATTCCTGCGCTTGGCTGATTGGAAACATTGCTATTAATTCATAGCTTGTGTTTTGATATAAATATGTAAAAGGTGTAAGGTATATAAGATGAAATATCCCAGTATTCTCTGCTTTCTGCTTAGCTTCTAGTTACAGATTTCATTGTTTTGTGTTATTGATATTTTGTGAAGTAAGTTAAGTTTAGTATGTGTTAGAAAGCTTACCATGTATTTTATAAACAACTAGAAATAATCTCCAATTGTCTAAAAGAACTTTAATTACTTGAATTCTAACTTTACTGTGGTCAAACTTTCAAGATTTTATTAAGAGAAAGTTGTTTTAAAAGATAAAGTCTCTGGTATTTTACAATGATTGAAATTTTCTTTTGAATAGACTGATTAATTTAAGGTTTAGTAATGTATTGTAAATTAAAATCATGCAAAACAAATATAGATTTTTTTTTTTGTTTTCCTCATATTTTGTGCTTGACAATGACAATTCCTAAAAAAAAATATAACTTTTTATACACCCACATTGAAATGTAGTTGTATACTGTCGTCGGTCAGTCCAACATGACACAATGAAGCCTATTGATTTTCAACGATTTCTTATAATTACTGCCAGAGTTATGGCCCTTAATCACTTTGAAATATCTTGTAGACGCTCTAGAGGTAAAAGTTAATATCCTATTATGGCCCTTGATATTAAATGTTTTATATACTTAACGTTAGTATGGGGAAGAACTAGAAACCAAACAGATTCTAATGATTTCTGATATTTACTTCATACTTGTAGATTGTTACTTGTAATCAGATTTAAATGTTTTCATTACTGACAAAATAAAAAAATATGCGACAACCCTTGTTGACGTTCTGGACGACTTAACTGCTATGGGCGTATGTTTCATTGTCTAGGGCAACAAATCTTTATAAACAATGGATTAAATGATGTACATTTTTGTTCACAGGTCAGAAGTAATGACATCAGTAGTATATCGTTCTGACGATTCTATGAGGATAGCTTCAGCAATTCGTAATTCTCCACCATTGAGCCTGTCCGAGTCGACTCCTACCCACACAGATCATACCGAGGGCACGCCTAGTTTTACTACCTCCAGTCCAAGTTGTTCAAGTGATGTTCTTGGTAACCTTTGTAATAAGACCAGTCGGCACGGTAGTTTGTAGCCTTCGTTCTTGCTTTAAGATATAATCAGTCTTTTTTGCTTTAACAAAAGTTCACTAAAGTCTTAACTATTTTAGTCTTTCTACTGCTGTTTCAAATTAGCATTCTCTTAAAAAAGAAATTCAGTCTGAATTGAATGATGCAATTTTATCACAAAACTAACAAGCTTAATTCTTTTCACTCATCTTATTGTCTTGGCTTATCACATATATAAGCAGATTTCTTCTTGGCTTGTCACATAGGCAAATTTCTTCTCTTTGCCAGACTTATCTGATTCTCACAATTATTTCTGTATTCAATTTCTTATGAGTACATCATGATATAGTCATTTATTGCAGCTTTATTTGATCACTTATTCATCTTACTACTTATCTAATATTGTGATTGTTGTTGTACTACTGTAGATGAGACATGAATTTATTGTATCATGAAAATATTACAGTGATGGGTGCCATTTACTTGAGCAGATCACACAACTAACAATATTTTGTACTTGTCATGATTGAGAATGAAATTGAAATCGCCTAGGTTAAATACCTCTCACCTTGTGTCTTTCAGACTTGGAATTAATTTCATGATTGCAATAGTATCATGTTTTACAGTATTTAGAAATGTATTGAATATAGTATTAGGATGAAAAGAATGTCAAATCATTGACTAATGTACTCATTGCTATTGTTTGCCAATACTTGCATATCAGATCAAAAGGAATGGAGCTTTTTACAAATTTGAAATACACAGCTACATTCTACATGCCACAGCTTTAGCATACAATAAGATATTCTTTCAGAATTGAAATTATTATATGTAAAACTTATGTATGGCAACATAACCGTATAGAAAAAAAAACTGACCAAGATGTTTTGTTGGTATTAGATATCTGTCATGAGTTATATACAAAACATTTAGAATGTGGTTGTATTGTAATTCAAAATTAATATTTTGTTGTCCACCTATTTCTATATATTCTAACAACAGATATAAATATGACTAGAATCAACTCTTAAGAAAACAATTTCTTGACACTAAACACTAAACTAAAGATTGTGTTTGTGGTGTATTTGGCAGAATCAAAACTAGTAATTGGAATAGGTAGAAATGAAATTTGACTGATTTAACCCTTCCTGGGCTAACCACTTTACACCCATACAGGGCTATGCAAATATTGAGTAAAAATCAAGCTTTAGACCCTGTTGTGAAAAATCATTCATACCTTGAATATGAATGCGACTACAACTGTAAAATTGCAAATGTATATCCATTATATATGACTTGGGATTTTTGCATATTTTTAGTTTAGATTTTATGGTTACTATGGTTACCAGTGGGTTTCAAAATGGCTGCCATATTATTGTCATAAATGAAATTTTCATTAAAAAATTCAAGATGGTCAGGAATAAAGCTATATGGATTATTACCATGATAGATATCTCTTTTGTAAGAATAGTATAGGTTTTTGGGGAAAAGTCACTAAATTGTGATAATAATGTTTTTTTTCTAAAAATAATAAAATATAAACGAGCAGTATTGACAATTTTGTGGTAGACAATACAAATATAAAATCATCAGTAACAAGTTTTTATTAACAATAAAATAAAAATAAATTAAATATTTGGAAAATAACATTAATATATACCGAAATATTCACATTAGTGTTGCCATGGTAACCAATTTGACCATATCGTATACGTTTATATCGGCAGCGATCTACGTGCGCGACTGTATAAAAGCAGACGAATAATTTCCTCCGGAGAAGTCTTCCTTTTTTTTGTGTCTTTACTTTGTGACAAACCTCTGAATTTTCATCAAAAGAAGAGTCCCCACTAATAGTATAGTCACTACCCGAAACCAATATAGACGTGACGTCATCGGCATCGGGATTCAGCCGAAGTCTTTTTGTTGTGAAGGACGCCATTCCTCGGCTGTTCTGACTATTGATGGTTGTTCCGTCAATAGGGGAAACCCCCTCGTAATAAAAACTCGTGTTATACACCATCTAAGGTTAAAACCATGATTTTACAGGGGAGTAAACCAAATTAAATAAAGTTCCCGACTATCGTCGGGTGCCGCTCTGACAGACTATAAAATTATCCCGACAATCGTCATGATTAGCTCAGAAAGGGTTAATAAAACAATCACCATTTTCAAACTTCGGCATGCCATATTGAAAGATCTGGTAGGATGGATGTTGACTTAAGCGCATTCTTTGATTAGGAGTAGTGCTTGAACATGGATGTCAATAAATTTTCTAGCAGTTGATCCAAGTCCAAGTGACGGTCATAATATATCTTTTGTTATAAGATAGTAACTGGTGTACATGCCTAGTTAACAACTGAAAATAAGTGTGTAAGGTTTTGATAAAATCTATCCTAACATGGTGTATCTTTTTTACAGATTTTACTACAAATACAGATTCAGGCTTGTCACCAGCCTCTCTTAGTCCAGAAAAAGCTTCCCCTTCCAAAAAAGCAAGCAGCAGTGAGGCATCATATTCCAGTGCTCTAGAACAACAAGTGTCATCTAATGTTCATACAGAAAAGGAAGAAGTGGTAAGGCTCACTGAAATATTGCTACATATTAAATCCTACAATAATAAAGTGCCAATAGTTTTGCAGAGTTTAATATTTCTGGCTTAAATCCAGCCTGCAATAATTGTATAATTTGATTGAATTAAGCATGAATTTATTGACAATTTTGTACACATTTTGTTGAGGAAAAGTCACTTCTCTTTTTGTTGCTCGTTTATCATTCAAAACACCAACTGATGAACATTGCATGTAACATATTAACATCTACCCTGTGACAATTTGAAACTTTATTCTTTAAACCAAGGATTGATCTTGTGTTAAAAACCTTTTTGTGATTTTTTTGACTTACAGATATATTATGTAAGATTTAGATAAGGAGCTGGTCATTCTTGCTATAATAACTCAAAAATAGATAATGCAAAATGGATATATTGAAAATTTCATTCAAATTACTTTATTCTGAGCGAAGATATTAGCCTTTGAAGGTTTGACAAGATGTGTGCACAGATTGTAACAACCTTGCTGGTTATTCAAAGCTTAGTCTTGCTTCACCATTTTTAGATTAAATCATTAAATGACTTAACCATTCTAATCTACTTAAAATCGAACCTATCTGAAGGCATCGAAACTTGATTATGTTCTTGTCACGTTGATAAATGTCTACTGTCTGATTCTGAACCTTCTGATTTTTTAAATGGATTTCTTCAATTGTGAACAAACTATTTAACTTTGGTTATTATAAACTTAACTGTGTGTTTGAAATCAACTCTGGTTAAATAAAATCCACTGCACAATTAAATATCCCAATAAATAAAAAATTTCTCTCTTGAAAAATTTAACTCCCACAAACTTTTGACATTGGGCAATACCAAAATGGAGCCCGATTACGTCACTCTTCGGGAGAGATCATTTCATATAAAGGGGTGCACGCCAGTGATGGGATTTCAAAATTTTATTTGTCGGACATTTTACCGAAAATAAAGGGGCATAACTCTTATCGTTATTTAAGCAGACGAATTCGTACCACAATTAAAAGTCACGTCAAAATATTCAAATCCCGTACGTATTAAAAATAGGTGAACCTCGCTATTTTTCATATTTAATTCCCGTACAGTATTCAATTCATACCACAATTAAAAACAAAATATTCAAATCCCGTACGTAATAAAAATTGGTGACCTCGCTATTTTTCACACTTAATTCCCGTTCGGCATTCAAATTTATGTCAGTAAATGTCCTACAAAATTAAGCATTTTCGTGATATGTTGAATGAAAGCTTGCCGATCCTGCTTCGGCATCAAATTCACAACCATAATATTCCTTTAGAATTACATGTCTTCATTTATACGGCAGCAAATGAATGCAGAACTTCCGAAATAGTTAAATCACTTGTAAACAGGCATAGCTAACTTCAGCGAATAACACTCTTTGATAGTCACGACAGAGTGACAGGCATCATAGGCAACACAGCAGAATGATTGACGACTACAAATACGTAAGAATTTCTGCTCATATAGCTATTGGTAGCCCCTCCCCTTTTTGTTATTTTGCTGGGTGCGTACTAGTCTCGGTCACCCAGAACTCCTAGTCTTCAACATATTCGTAGAATATTTTTCTGGATAATAGAGACTAATAGCCTACGTGACTCATCACACGGCTTCATAGTAAGCACTGCCTAATAATATGTTAAGCAATATTCGTGCCGCGCTCGACGGTATAACACGATAAATACGTTGATCACTTAATTACCTAATAAACCCAGCGTATTATCGACGATAATCGGGTTGAGTGGTAGTTATACACTCAGTAAACTATATTAATTTCGGAATTTTGAATATTATTCACCATGTCTTGATGTCCGATTGGGCATATTCCCGATCGGACAATTTTGGGCGTTTGGAAAAAAAGATTCGGACAAGTCCGGAATATACGGGCAAAATCCCATCACTGGTGCACGCATGCCACAAAGAAAGGGTTTGCGGTACATATACAAAAATTCAAGGTATAAGCTATCAGTCTTGGCTCGATATTGAGTTTGGGCGTTGACTCATGTAACTGCCCGTATCCCTTTATTTTGTTATCATCTTTTTATATTCTAGTAAAATCCGAGTTTATAGATTTTCTTTTGAAATATTTTGTTTTTTAAAATTATTTGATAAGTCGGATGAGAGAATTTTTCTTTTGAACACAAATGCGGCCCAAAAACAGGCTTTAAAATTGTACCCATGTTGTTTGTTAGATTATCTATAATATAAAGAAAATAGGAAAGTTTTAATTTATATATGACTTTATTTTTACGAGTAACTGTACAATCATTGATATTTTCATTGTGAATACAATTTGGTAGACTGGCCATCAATGGTTTCCATATAAATCTTCTATGTAATTGCTTTCTGTTGATATTTTTCGTCAATCAAACGATCGAAACGATCGCGGTTTGTTTTCATTGCAACACGTGGTTGTCAAACTCTCTGTCAAAGTTAAACCACCCCAGCAACAGCCTCATTGGTTTCGCCCAACACATGACGAAAGCAGTGTTGTCTTGTACTCAGTCGAAAATATAAGTAAACATTGCAAAATTTTCAAGAGAGAACTTTTTTATTCATTGGGATATTTATTTGCGCAATGGATTTTATTTAACCGGAGTTGACTTCAAACACGCAGGTAGGTTTATAATCCAAAGTTACATAGTTCGTTCATAATCAAAGAAATCTGTTTAGAAAATAGGGAGGTCCAGACAGTAATTAATAGTTTATATAACATTTCAGGCGTAAAGAAAGACCTGCAATAGGCAGATTTTGCTCTTGCATAATGCATGTTTATTTAATTGATAAAGATTTGAGGGAAAAAATGCATGATTTGATACATTACTTTTCATACCCACAACTAGGGCTGCAACGATATACACTATACAGCGAGATGGTATACTACGGTATACATGTCACAGTTCGGTTCACAGTATTTTAAGTTCTGTACCACTTTTTGGAAAACACGGTACGATTTTTTTTTAACCGTCCGTTTCCTGCCGATACTCAAGTATCATGCAGAGTTATGGCCCACTGTAGTTCATGTGACAAGGAGGAAAGATGGCTTCCGGCTATGAAACATTCGCCTCCATTGAACCACAAATCACGGATATGGAAACATTTTGGATAAAATAGGCCAGATGGAAAAGCTGTGGCTAATAATGTTGAGGTGTCGCCATTAAATATTATGTAATTATTTTTATTTTTTAAGTAAATTTGGACAGATAAAAAATACTGTGATACGTATCGTGAGGTCCATACCATGATAGGTATCGTATCGTGAGGTTAGTGTATCGTTGCAGCCCTACTCACAACAGTTCATAAATTACAAGAATAAAGTTCTAATCCTTGATCAACAAATGTTTTATTATATTAAAGGGTATGATTGCCTATGTTAAATACTTGCTAAACTCTCATTCTATTGTGCAACAATCTAGCAACAGGCAATAAAACATTTGGCATTTGACACATTACATACCTCCATTATTTGACCCAGTTTTATGTTGATGCCCTGTTTAGCCCTGTGATAAAAATTTGATGGTCAAGACTTTAAACACAATAACTTTGATTCCATTGAAACTTGATGTATAGTTTCATCACATCAATACCTTGACTAAGTTTGATGATGAGCATTTCCTACCTATTGGTTGTCTATTCTATTCAAAGAAAGACGTCTTGATTTTCAACATCCCATTGTTACGAAATCTTAGTTTAGAGGCATTAATTATCTGATTTTTGTGAAATATTTATGAGTTAAGTAGCTCATAACTGTATGGACGACTTAGCTGCTGGCGGGTCGCATGGGAGTATGTTTTGTTGCCTGGCAGCCTATGTTTACATTTGACTTTTTCATTAGAAGTATTTTGACTAGAGGTATTAGGACTTGGTACAATTTTTTTTTTTTACATTTATTCAATAGAAAAGATCTTTAATCAATATTAAAGACATTCTCCTCTACCAGTGTTCACATTTGTTCAATAGAAAAGACATTTTAGCTGAGCATTTAATATTTGCAGTCATACCCTATGATAATTATCAGGACTAGAAGTGTATGTTAATTACTGGGTTGCTGCCCATTGCATCTTGATATTGTTTTGAATTAATGTAAATCTAAATCACTACTTAATACAAAGTTCAGTGCTTCTTGTTGCATTTCCAGCAATTTTAAAGACCAACAAATTTGACTTGATAAGCCTCTTTATATATTTTTCTATTGTCTTCTTTTTTCTTCTGCGATTTCCATCTAAAATCTTTACATGTCCTACTGTTTTGCTATGTTTTGTCTTAACTCGTCCATTTGTTTTGTTTATTTTTTCGTATATTTTTCAAGCTTTCTGTCACTGGTGATGGTGATGTTGTCTTGCATGCTAATAAACATTCATCTAAACTTCAAACAAAAGTGGTAGATAGAAAATCAGAATATCTTACAAACTCTACTAATTATAGTACACACCATGTTAAACCTCAACAAAAAAGATGCTCGTATTCATCAGAATATACCAACAAAAGTTCTGAATTTATTATCTTGAATAGTCGAACACAAGGTGATAAGGAAAAAGAACTTGAAATAATAGAGTCTCAGTCAGTGCCAGATTTAAAACCCAAACCATCGTATGGTTCAGGTATATTTTTACCAGGATCAACTAGTTTGATTTCACCATATCTACCAGTTAAAATAAATAATGATAACTTGGATGAAAATGTGCTGGAAGAAAGTACATATCTATAAAAGTTTTGATTGGCTAATTGGACGGTTCATGGAGGAACTGAAAATTTGTAGCAATAAATGTTTGCAATCATTAAAACCGGTGAATTCTACCAAAGTTTGGAAATTCTTATGTAACTTTTGATTATGTTATTAATAAGCTTATTATTTTATTTTATTCAATTTGCACACATACTTTAAAATACATAACTTATTTTTAGTACATATTCTTTAAGCCCCACATGGAGAAAATTATTTTCCTAACCTAAAAAAATGTTTGATAATAGTGTAAGTGATTGTTAAAAAAAATTATTTGTTCCTTATTAAAATTATTCTTCAGTAAAAAACTGTTACTTTGATGTTAGAATTTGTTGTTACATGTTAGCATTCTGTTAACTGTTCCAGATTTTTTTTATATCTTGAGATCCATTAATGAGACAAAAAAAAGTTCTATAGCTAAAGTATTCCAACGACACAAAAAATTACTCTGGTCCTATATAAGTTGCATTGATATCATAGGCATACAGGCTTGATGAATGTTAATGAGACAACCTGGAATGCCTGAAAATATTTCGGGTTACAGACTACTGACGGCGGCAGCAAAAACGTTTTCCTGCAGCCCGTGAATGCAGCAAGTGGTCTAATAAAGCCTAACTTAAGGCTGACTCGAATTCCAATCAACCAACCAATCGTTTACAGTCCACGATTGTAGGACTGTCGGGAGAAATATTTTTCAAATTTAAATGCTGCAAACGCATTTTCCTGCTATTTCAACCCGGGAACACATCAACTTCAATGTGTCCAATATAGTCTACAAGGCTGACCTGAATCCCAAACAACCTTAAAATAAATGGTCGCAGGATAGGGGGGCCTCGCCTACCCGAGAAAATTTGTAAAATTTAAGAGCTGCAAATGCGTTTTTCTGCCATTCTAGCCTGTGAGTTAAACAACTTCAAAGTTTCCAATTGTTTTTCCAACCATCCAATCGGACTGTTGCAGCTGCATTCACAAATAATAATCGATGCCTGAAAAATGGCTCACAAAGTAGAGTGACCCAGACAAAATGTTTTTATTAAATAGTCGGTTCAGTACAAATTCATGGTATTCAATTAAAAGTAAAGTAAAATTAGTTTTTTTTTTATTAGATTTCGGGCACTTTATATTGCCAAATAGATGAAAGAATAATTTTTGTTTTCACTTTACCCATCTGCCCAAAATGTCAGTTTGTCTTTTTTTATTTTTTCAACTTCTGTCTTTTTTTGTATTGCTTTGCTTACTAGAATAATGTATTACTGCATTTTTATTGCATTGATTATACTTTTGATTTGAATTATTAACACTTTGATTTTATTTTTGTCTTTTTTTTTTATCTCCTTTCTTTCAGTGATATTCTGCAGGTAATAGGGTCTTATATAAATAATTCATGTACTTTCTCTTCTTTGTAACATCTTAGAATACATGCTTTGATTAATAGACTAGGGGTAATAGAAACCAGATATTAACCAATTGTTTTGCTTGATTGAAGATGTTTGGAACCATGTGTAATCAATTAATTGCAAAATCATGCTTTTCAAAAATAGATAAAAATGATTTGTAGTTTATAAAGACTAGCAGGATTAGGCCAGGAAAAAAAATGCCTGTGTTTATGGTTACTAGCTCCCAAAATAAAGGGATGGTGAAGAAAATTAGGAGGTTAAATCCTATTTCACTCATTAATTACTGAGTAAGGTTCTTGAAAATAATGTCAATTCGGACAGTTATAGATACCAAAATTTCTATGTTGAAATTGGTCTGCAGAAAATCCCACCATGTCGCCAAGACTGATTTATAGGATGGAAATGAGTAATTAAATATGGTCCGTCATGTAACCATAAACTCAGGTATATTGTTTTTGACCTTTATTAGAAAATGTTTGAGCTTCAATGTGTAACACATCATCAATCAAGCATTGTTATATAGAATACAGGTAAACATATTTAAATAGAGTTGAAGCTAGTATATCTGTCTTGGCTAGGATGATGATTCTACAAAATTCTCTAAATTAAAACGAAAGCTTGAATTTATTGTTGATTATTAGATATTGTTTTGCATGGTGTTTGTTGTTTGATTGTTGCTGTGCATGGAATGACATTCTTATTCAGAATTAAAACCAGATTTTGGGGTGGATGCTGTAATAAAATAAAAATAATACTGTTCTTGTTTTTGTTCTGCATGTAGCTACATCTGAATTATGCAATTCAAAGCATAGTCTTTTCTGATAATAAAACTCTTTTCTTCTCTTCTGTCATTTCTAATTTCATATTAAAATTATATTGGAATACAATGCCTACACATGTGTGAATTACTCTACTTGTTATTTGTTAATGTTTAAGGCGGGAAATTTGTGTGTACATGTTGTTTACTCGTTAAGTAAGAGATTTTGCCAGGTGTAAATTGAATATGATTGCATGTATAAAATATTTTGGAAGAATGGGTATTGTGGTGTGAGTGTAATTGTTTGGATGTAGATCATTATACATGTAGTATTAACATTTTTGTCCTCCACCTTTTGGAGGAAGTATGGGACTATTAAAATGGATGCATCCATCTGCCTGTCTATCATATTTTGGAACACAATATCTGTGAGGTAGAATATTCCAACTTGGTGTAGATGTTCATTAGATGAAAGTCTTGACTGAGTTCAGTGATGAACATTTTCTGCTAAGGCTAAGCAAGAGATTAATCAATATGATTTGTCGATGCTTTGTGATTCTGATGCTTTGTCATTCTAATCGAGGGGAGGTGATGAAACTTTTCTATCAATACCATGACGAAGTTTGATAATGAGCATATTTTGTTCAGGTTTAGCAGAGTGATTGCTTAATGCTTTATAAAAGATAAATATGCAAGTGTTTCATCTGTTTATTTTGGGATTGAGGCAGGTGACATCAGCCACACTGTTGGCTTGTTTTCTGAGCATAAGTTTACTTTGTAAAATTTTAACTTTGTTTGAGCCAAAACTGAGTAATAAACAATTCTAAAACTCTTACCACTAAACTTGCGGTTATTTCCAGTAGAAAATCAGATTAATTTTGTCTGATGACATCACTGATATGTTTACAACAACTAACAATTTATGAAGAAAATTAAGGATGTTACAAAAGAACTTTTTTTTTGTTTGTGGGAATATTTTGTTATTCAGTGGATAGTTTTAGTAGTTGGAGCTTAACAAAAATAGTAGTAGGAGTTTTACTAGCATATTATAGTCACTGTTAGACAGCTATAAGAGTATAAGTTCACAAATATTAATAAGTTTAGATATTTCTTCTTGCTTTCCTAACTAGTAAATTTGTTAAATTATGTAAATGATTGTAAATATATTTGGATGCATGCAATTGCTACCTGATTTTGATATACCATATTTTGATGAACATCAAAGTAAAATGTTCTATCATTCCCATATTCTATAAAAATTTTGTTTGGTTACCAACATAAAGAATTGTTCCTCTTCTTTACGAGGGCTGCAATGACCCACAAGTAGAATGTCCTGGTTTCGGATTTTTTAAGCTGGTTCCCAGTTGTCAGGGTTAGCGCATGCGAGGATGACAAGGAAAGTGTATATTCGTTTGGGCTTCTGAATGTCCTGTGTACAAATAAGCAGTGCACATTAAAGATCCTGTGTCAGTTATAATTCAAAGAAGAATGGTCCGAAACATGGCTTGACTGGGCAACTTTTGCTCCTCAGAGTGCAAACATGAGCATTAAAAAATATTAGTCTCACAATGACCAAAGTATTGAGTTAATGAGCCAACTTCCATTCTTCACTAAATTAAAGTTAAATGCCACTGTACATTAAGAAGAACATTCACACAGGATTTTTATTCTAGTAATTTAAGTTGATGGTAATCCTGGCAAGAATTTTTTAATTGTTCAGATGGGATCAAAAGAAAAAAAACATGTTCCTGCACATTAATTATCTTTTAACAGTACTGGTACATTTAGATTATTATTAGATTACAGCCAGTTGATACAGCTAATTTTTAAACCAACACAATTTATATGAAAATAAATGATTGAAATACCAAAAAATAGTGTTCTACTGTCTTAACATTGGTAATATATTTGCATTTTGTTTGTGCATCTCAGAGACAAATTGTACTTGTAGTCATCTGCTCTTGTTAAAAATTGAAAAAAAATCGACACAAATATGGGATGTCTTTTATTTATGCATGAATTGAATCATGATTTGGTATTATAAATTGCTTAATCTTAATGGTAATGTTTTTCTATTAAATGTAACTAATGTTTTCTTTCTATTTTTCAGACACATTTATAACTACAATTAGACTTAGTGATTAGACTATATGGGAGATAAAAGCACTGTGTAGCTAGGATTTAGCAGTAAACACATGTGGACAGATTGTGATGTCTGTGTCCATATCTATGTAGGCATAGATCTACTTTTGCGGCTTTTTGGAATTTTGATTTTGTTATGTGAAATGATATTACTCAGCTACCTGTTTTTCTGGGAAGACATGGAGACTAAACATACAGTGTTAACGAAATAAGGACATTCTTCAAATTGTGAATGGGCAGGAATGTAACAGTGTATCATGTGCAAACGGAATAGATCCTGCTGTTCTCGGAACAAATCAAGAGATATTAATATTTATGTTATATAACAGTGACAGTAGTCCACACTTAGTTTTTTTTTTTTTTTTAAAAGAACAATGGAATTCAACAGTATTGTTGACTATATTTTGAATGTGTTTTGTTTTTGTTCTAGAATCTAGAACACCTTTGTATCTGATAAACTATTATGTTATATTTATACTGTAGCAACTCATACAAATAGCTTTCTATACACTTGTGTATTATTCATTCCAATATTTCATATGAAGATTTTTTTTTTGTATTTCATAAATTGTATACATACGTATGTATGTGTAGAATAAATGTTTCTATGATGAATAGTATGCAGTTGTAATAATGTAATGGATGGTAATAAAGTATCATACATTGAAAGTCATTGGTTGAAATATGTATGCTTAGATTAGTTTAGATCATGTGCAATCAAAGTAATTAAACTATCCAGTTGCCAGTAGGAGCTTTGGATCTATTACATATAAAATTAAAAGAAGTTAAATTCTTACAATTTTTATCAAGGAATACTGTGTTTCAAGATTTAGACCAGGATCCTGTTTCAGGAAGTGTACATAAGCTGTATACACGTGAATTCAGTAGAGTTGTATCATAAAATGTTCAGTGTGATTAAGCCTTGTGTATGCTTTGTGGAACAGGTCCCATTACACAAAGCATGTTGTAATGTGGATACAGTACATGTACATGGTGACAGTATGTATGTATCTTTTTAAAAAGATTTAGGTATATAAACTTAAGGTGTTTAATAAAAAAAACTTTCGCAACAAAACTTAAATCCCTTTAAATTTCTAGTAATGTAAAAAATAATATTTAAGAAGGCTACAACACAATGTTTTAATATACAGTGATTTTAAATTACAAGCAAATTTAAGCGATTTAAAGTATGTAAATGTGTTCAGAAGACATTTATGGTCTATATAGACACCTTTGTGTATCTTATTTTGTATTGACCTCAATTTCACATTGTTTGAATATTATGACATAAGGTTTATGAATGCCCCGTGAAACGTGCCATGGTGGCAACAGCTCCAGTTTATTTTTCGAACCATTTCTTATTGTATAAAGTGGTAGCAAAGTTTGCATGGCTTAATTCATAACATATATAGTACATCATCTATATTAGTATTACAAGCATGAATATTTTGTACTAAGTCTACAGTACAATGAATAAATATATCATTACACCTAACCATGGCATTTATTAATAATGTTACAAACTGTAATTAGGTGCACAATTAAACATACTAATTAATATTCATTTATATATAACATGTACAAAAACACATTACTCATCCAAATTTGATCAGTAATTGCCAATTTTATCAAATTCCTATAATCAGTATTTGTAGTGACAGGTGACATTGGAATTTTCTTAAAGCCACAGATTCCTAGACTAATATTGAATTTCAGATCATAAACAATAAAAAGAGGTCTTGCCAGAAAGCATATTAGTTCAGAAATTATATTAATATCAGTCCTAATGTGTGTTATGGCCATCTAAAGTATCATTACTTTCTGTTGATTTTACACCACCATCTGTTTCAACTTGAAATATATATTAAGTGAAGTAATAAATGATCATCGGTTTCTATGCATAAACAGCGAGGACACGATGACATGACATATAAGGCTATGTGTTTTGTTTAAATCTCAAAAAATACCATTTAAAGAACACTATACAGCTCTTTAATTGTGTTAAATAATGAAATTGATGATTAGTCTTCTTGAACATTGGGGTTTTAAGATTTGTACATTTGTATTAATTAGAGGCTTTATCTATTTTTTTTGTAAATCTCATTAGCATTCTAATCAACCAAAGTTAGCCATTACCTGCTGAGCTTTCTATCAAGAGGTTTTTTATGGTATAAATTGATAGTAACTCTGTACTCCACACAGTTACCATCAAAAGTGTTTTAGGACTATTTATTATACTGATTAAAGCTGCTAATTGTCATTTGTATTTCACAGACAATATCTAATTTGTTTTTTTTTTTGTCAGCATAATCCACACTTCATTTGCCTTTTTTGGTACAGAAAAATAGGACATTAAACCCCTTTTCATAGATGTTTGATATGTATTTATTCTGATTATAGGGTTATTTATCATATAGTGAGTACAGGGATTCTATATTTAACCACCAACAGACTTAAAAATAATATCACTGTGCCAGACCCTGTTCAAACTTTCAGTTAGAACGAAAATGTGTACATATATAGTTAAATAATTTCTTAGCAACTAACTATATTGATGTGCAGTGTGTGAATGATTTAATTTATGTGTGGGACTTGAGTGCAATTGTAGTTGACATTTTATGCATGGTCTTAGTTTTTTTGTTTTTTTTCTTCTCCAGCCACATACTCAAAACCCATTGTAAATTGCTACAGATGACTGCTCTTGGTCACTGATAGTGATTTGTTCATGAATAATGAGGGTGTAAGATATTTCAATAGCTATGTGTCATTACAAGAAATGTCAACAGTTATTTATTATTTAAAATAGCTAAATCTCTAACTCAATATCATCCAAAATCTTCGACATTGAAAACACGATTTATTTGTCACTTTAAATCAACCTTGATGTTGTGATCTTACTGGGAAAAGATAACCTTCTGATATCCAATATTTAAGACAAAATAAACATTTTACAATTGGTACACAAATCGTGTACCATAATGCGTTTCAGTGCTATTTGTAATAAGGGACTCGAAAAACGAGGTTAGGCATATTCCACAAGTCATATCAAACGGTGACGCTATATTCTTATCTGGAGCGCATGCCCACTAAATACTATCAGCGTAGACTGGAAAAACCAGAATACTGGCGTATTTCGCTGAGCCTAACTGATTAGAAATTAAAGTAAAAATAGAAACGATTGAATGTAAATCAATTTATATACATTCATATTACATTATTGTATTCGTTGTGATCCATTTGTGTCAATTTCTAGGTCCCAAATATTAGCGACTTAGCTCCTTTAACATTATATATTTGAAAACTGGCTAATTCAATATCAGTCACCTAGAAATGTTTGTATTGGCAAAATGCAATGGAGTTCTGAGAATGCCCAACTCCATCATTGATCAAAATATTTATATATCATAGTTTTTATTTTAACATAAGTTTTAGTCATCCACAGAATGAATGGACATTTGAATACCTGTGAACATATTTATATTTATTACATGTATATGCCTTGTAATATAGTCGAGACCTTCATATCATAGAATGTACATATCATTTGCTGTAAGCTTCTGGTACATAATTGTATAAAGGAACACATAATGTACAAATAAAGTATTTGAATAGATTCTAGCATTGTTTTCTTAACCCCTCCTCTGAACTATTGTGATATGGTCCATATTACGTGTGGTTTAATGGTTGAGAGCAATACATTAAGTAATTGACCTTCGTCACAAGTTGTTGTTTCAATATATTACGCAATGTCTTAAGCTGGAGACCATTAAACAACTTAAAATACAGACACTTGCATGTGCTTTGCACAGGTCCAAAATTGTAACTACTATAAATAATGTATGCTTGGCACATTGCCTGTACCATTATTTGAAATAATGATATGCCAACATCCATCAAAGGATGACGTCACATCTGTATTTTAATCCCTTTTAATAGCACAATATTTCCCAAATTCACCAAAAATACATGTTTTGTCCCACTGATTTCAAATCCTTTATTTGATGTAATGTTTCCAAGTACAGAGTCCAGTATTTGATGTCATGTTTCCAAATAGTTTCTGGAATGGAAAAATTCTACAAAATTATTGCAGTTTAATACCTGCCGATCAATGTTGGTTTTGGGTTCCATTTGAACTAAGATAGGTTGCCAGATAAATTATACACCCATAGCAGTTTAAAAGTCATCCGAGAGAGAGAAATGGGATTTCCACTCGACACATACTAGATAATTATGGAACGAACATGATTCAATTTTATTTTACCAATTCGCTTGCACGTAAGGGTCTTCAGCAATGGGAGGAACCTACAAGATTTGGCAGGTGATCATAATATGTTCTTGGAGCATATCCACAAGATTCTATTAATTGAGCAAGTGCAATAACTCTAGCAATAACAATTATTGAAACCCAATAGGCTTCTCAATTTCACTGATGTGGACAATGCATACAAATTTCAAGTGTTTCATTTCATTCCATTTAGTTGTCCATATTCATGTACTATATTTCAGTGACGTAGATTGGTCAAAAATTATGCAACAATTAATTAAATTTAACATATTTTTAGGATTCTGTAGTTACCAGAGGCCAATGGCGGCGCCAGCCCCCCCCCCCCCCCATAATCTGTTCTGCCCTCTGTTTAACCCCCCCCCCCCCCCAATAATTTTAGAAAATAAAAAAAAGTATTTGTGATACGTTTCGGTAATCAATACCTTCTACGGTGAATAAACCCCACATCCCCACTCAGTCATAAACTTGCATGTTGTAGAGCATTTCCGACAGTCTATTTTTCAAAATTTTCTTGGCGAGGTCCCCAATGAACTCGCTACTTTTGCGTTCACAAGGGGAATTTGTTGAGGTTCGCAAGTCCGTTTGTTTGACATTTTGTTCTCTAGTCGGATAAGCTAGTAATCAGGCGACGGACGGTATCCGGTCAGATCTATTTATCTCGGCGATCGGTGCCTGGGAATACTGTAAGACAGCATTTCAGGCAGTCTATTTTTCAAAATTTTTTTGGGGAAGACTCCCTACTTTGACGCTCGTAAGTGGGCTTCGTCGTGATTCGCAAGTCCGTTCGTTTGACACTTTACCTCATCGATCAGTGCCTGAAATACTGTCAGACTGCATTTTCGGCAACCTGTTTTTCAAAATTTTCTGGGGGAGGCCCCCTACCCCTAGTTGAAGCTCGTGCCTTTGCCCCCTTAACCTTGGACTTTGCCCCTCCAATCACCGACGGCTGGCGCCGCCACTGCCAGAGGCGTAGCCGTGAAATATATATGGGGGGGGGGGCACCCCTAACCCATTTTTTAAAACCCTAAAAAATATAAAACACCATGTGGCCATGCTGTCTACCAAGACACCGCATGCAAAGCATTATGGTTACGTTGCTGGCTGAGCGGGCGATAAATATTTGGTTTAGGCGATAACGTTTTTGGGAACCTACATGCGATTCACTCTGATAGGTGGCAGAAAAAAATTATCAAAATACTGACAGGCTAACTAGACACAATTTTATGGAACACAGTTACTTTTCACTTCACACATGTTTCCAGGATGATTCTCTCTGTGTTTTATTTTAGCTATGTAAACCATATTGGGATATGTACAGGTTTTATAAAGATAGAATCTTAACTAATAATCCAGGGCCGGCGGAAGCAATTCTTGATTGGGGGGGGGGGGGGGCTTCCATCCTAGGTCCTTATAGGCGTGGGTCCAGGGGCCGCAATAACCTGGAGAAAAGAGTACTTGCGGCCAAATTATTGGGGGGGGGGGGCTAAAGCACCCCTCCGCCGGGCCTGTAATCCTAATAATTGTTGTAAATAAATAGGAGTTTGGGCCTACTATGTAAATTTTTGGGGGGGTCCAAGTATATTCAGACTCCCCCCCCCCCCCCGAAAAACAATTGGGGGGGGGGGGGGTGCCCTGTGTGACGCCCATGGTAGTTACAATTACAACTAATGGCATAAGAGGAAGATGCCTGTGCAGTTTCCTCCTTTTTGTGTCAAAAAATCAGAAAAATAATAATTAAATTTTAACATATTTCTAGGATTCTGTAGTTGTAAATATAACTCATGGAGGAAGATGCCCGTGCAGTGACCTTTTGTGAGAAAAAAAACGAAAGAAAACACACAATTTTCAGAAAAGTTTGGCCTATTTCTCTTGTGCCAACAGTATATTGCATTCCACCTATCACTTTCTTGTATTACTAACACAGATTTTGGTTCTGTCTTATTACTTGGTGTGTTTTAGTTTTGTGAACATCTTTTGTTTCTCAAAGTTCAGATAGTAAGTGCAGGAAGACCATACCACACATAAACAAACACACAAGACAAAGCTACGTATAGGACATAATATACAGACATTTAAAACAATGGATCTGTGGGCTAGTCATACAGGGGATACTCAAATGAACGTTCCGGAATTAAATTCTCTCATTTCCAAAAATAGTGTCAATCGAGCGAAAAGGAGAATTTCGGAGTACAACCCATGTGCCATCTGCATAAAAAATATCTCAACCAATCATGACAGCTGAAACATATTTGTTACGTAAAATATGTCAAGATTCTACTCACACCACCTCAGCTGTTGGGACTGGCAGAACTGTCACAGGACTGAATTCCGTATCACTGGATTGCAATTCTGTCAATTCGTGAGGTTCTGGACTGACAATCGAGCACCACCACAGTTTTCACTCAAAATGAAAACAATTCAACAATAAGGGAAAGAAAGGGGGAATATTTCCCAAAAGTAAACATATAATAGACCCACAGGTACTAACTTCTAGTAAAATGCACAACAGGATATATTTCCAGGTGGAAAATATATGTGACTTATGACGTGTGGGAGGATTTTCATAGAGCTGAATTCAAATAGTTTGGGAAAGGAATATATTGTGTACACTATGCAACTTTGTACACCGAACCTTAATTTGTGTACTATGCCAACAACTAAGCACTTTTTCATTTATGAAGGAATCAGACATGAAGTATCATATAATTAAGACTATGCAATAAATATAATTTCTATTATTGCCATAAATACAATCATATTATTATCAGTTTGATTTGTTCCAATAAATAACACTGCTTTAAACTTTTTATAACAGGTTTTATTCAATAGTTTACATTATATTTTCTGCTATTCACATAATATTAAGATTACCAAAAGTAATGATGACCTTGAAATGCATCATCTGAAAAATATAAGAAACGATAACATCAATTTTTTACAAACCAAATTAATTGCACATAAAAGCAAAATTTCTTCAGAATCAAAACTACAGTAAACCTCACACAAGTCGGATCTTTGCTCAACTCGGATAAAATTGTTTGGACCCTTTGATCTTGCACGATTTTCTTATTAAATTTCTGCGCGTACATGTAAGTTGGATCTTCGCTCAACTCGAATCAAAATGTCTGGTCCATTTGATCTAATTCCGGCTTTTTTCCTTTGCCTAAGTCGGATCGGCAGTATCAGTATGTTCACAATATGCCGTTAAAAATATGTCCCCCCTCTGCCAAACGGCCTGGCTGATGCCTTGAAATCCAAATACAGGGCAGCGCACAAATTTGCGCAACTCTGCCATATAAGACGAAACGAAATTGGAACTTTTGAAAAAATTTGATTGTAATCGGGCTAGGCAAAGAAATAATTGACTGAAGTCTCTCAGCTTTTCAACGATTCTAATTTTTCCCCACCCCAGGTTACCTAAATTTTGTTTCGTCTTATATGGCTGAGCCACGTAAATCCACCAAAGCCGTCTAGCAGAAGGGGACGCATGTTTAACAGCATGTTGTGTTGCACATACCAACTCTAGCGAGGTAAGCAAGGTTTTATTTTCTCACTAAAATGTTCCTTTACATTGTTCAGACGTTCATAAGACTGACACATGACCGTTTAGCAGTAAAAAGTTGCCCAGTAAAATTGACTGGGAACCGATTTTATTTTGTACAGGACAGGGCGAACTGAACTAGGTCTTCGGCTAACTCGGAACTTCGCGTAACTTGGATATAATTGGTCCATTTAGATCTGACTTATGCGAAGTTTATTGTAAATAAAAACTTGAAACCACACTTGTAACTACCAACACTTCTTTATTAGTCTCAACATATAATAATCTGGACAAAATAGGTTAGAGGTTACACAGAGATTTCAGTTCGTCTTATTTTTCACCTTCACTTTACATTGGAAAGATTGCAGAATGCAGTATGATCTAGTGGATCTTAACAATAAGCCACTGTGCGAACAATCAGTCAGCTACCATAATATAGAGAATTCCAGTCTACCATACAGTTAATAAAAGCTTACCAGTACCAAGATGTTCTGTGTCTCTTTGAAAAGCTCTTATTTCTTTAAAATTTGATGACGTACTACAATGAAAGGCATTGAAAATCCACTGCAGAAAAACAGAGCCATGTAAACAGCCAATTTATATCTGTTTGCGATACTAAATGGTAAATTCTGAAATTAAAACATTTGTCAGTTTAATTAAATTAGGAATGTCTGAGTTAAATGAACCTACCAATGAACACCTGTGATTCCTACTACTACTAAACAAGGGACAAGGATTGTCACATGAATGAAATGCCAATGGGCTTGAAGCCTTTAACAAATACAATAACTTAATTAGTAAATTATCTTACATACTTTTCTACACCAACATGGATAATGAAGATGGCCATTTTGCCTAGACAGCTGTACTAGGCTACTAGACAGCAGTTCCACATGCTAAGGTTAAGGGTTCTTTTACGTGCACACTAATGTAAGCAATGGCAGTCTCTCTCCTTCCTGCCTCACTGACAAGGGAAAACCATGTTATAAAATCCCAGGTGAACATTCTCGGCCAACACTGGGATCAAACCCCACTGACCTCCTGGTTAGTGAGCCAGTTCCTTACTGACCTTTTATTAGACTTATTTAGAGTCAATAATCACTCGAATGAGCCACTGCCATAATATGGTTAGCTGAGTGAGATTGAGAGGCAGGACAAATACTTGTGACGTGAATAGTTTTGCCACTAAGTTGAAGCCAATTAATATACCGTCCAGTTGTCGGTGGTATTTTTCTAGGTAAACCCTATGGTTCGGTCTATAGCCTAAAAATGATAATCCACCACACTGCGGCAAAACATAGCAAAGACGAAAGAAAGTCACACATTCGACCTTGCTTCGTCCACTTGTCGAGTACTAATTTTCTGTAGTTTTCAAAAACAGATTTAACTTCAAATGAACTAATAATTTGTTTACCGCGCCGGGAATGCCTTCTTGTTGGTATTCACTTCTAGCCACAGCAGTTGTGGTGAATTTCCTCGAAAAGGGTCGTGCTAGCCGTGTAAGAAGCATTTTGGATTTTGTCTGTCGGAAGTGAAGGGCTAAGAGACTAGTGGCGACATCTACCGACCTTCATGAATCGTATCACGGCATACTGATCAGCAGTGAATTTTTCGCTAGGCCGCTACAATCACTGATAAGGATGAAATCGATGCGACTTAATGAGACAGAAATATTAACTTTTTTCCTGCGACAAATTAAATTCTAAAACATTTTTTTTATGTATGGGAAAAATAAATTAAGGCGTTTGACGTATTTGTATGCGACTAAATGAGCCAGAAATATTAACTTTTTTCCTGCGACAAATTAAATTCTAAAACATTTTTTTTATGTATAGGAAAAATAAATAAAGGCGTTTGACGTATTTGTAGGTAAAAATTATTTTCTATTTAGTGTAAATGGGTATTAAAATGACTAAAAGGCAGCATTCCGACCGAAGCAGTACTGTCTTATACACGTCCATGGTCTTATATAACAATGCACGCGCCATTCAGCCAATGATTGACGCCGCATGCTGTGACGGCACGTGTTACGGTTAGTCATCTTTGACAGAGATATTACTCTAGACTCGTAATTCTCTATGAAACAGAGTGGTATCATGGAATGAGACTACTACTACCTACTTCTCATTTCGATGATCCTTATCTTCATAACCACATGATTTAATACAATATATCACAATCATTTGATATAAATATTAAAGGGTTTGGCAGTTTCTGTTTTTGCTAAGCCTGCTCAATATAGTAATCTATAGATAGAACTCAAAGTCAATGGCCGTTGAATACCGCTTGGGCTATTCAATTAATTAATAATAGGCCTACTAATAATTGAGTATGTAGCTTTAACTCATATATGATTAATGTTTCAAGGGAATTAAATGTGCTGTTATGGTTCTGCTATGTATAAAAATATTTCTCTGATTATATTAAGACCCAATTTCTTTCCCTATGTATGCATGCTGTAACTTTCAGTGCACTGGCTCATACTGATCAGCAGTGAATATTCGCTAGGCCGCGACAATCACTGATAAGGATGACATCGATGCGACTTAATGAGCCATAAATATTAACTTTTTTTTCTCCGACAAATTCAATTCTAAAACATTTTTTTTATGTATTACAAAAATAAATAAAGACGTTTGACGTATGTGTAGGTAAAAATTATTTCCTATTTAGTGTAAAAATGGTATTAAAATTAGTAAAAGGCTCCATTCAGCCCGAACAAGTAAGGTCTTATGTAAACAATGCACGCGCCATTGAGCCAGTGATTGACGCCGCGTGATGAGACGTCACGTGCTGGAGGTAGCTGTCATCCTTTACAGAGATATTAGTTCGTAATTCTCTGTGAAACAGATTGGTACCGGAAATTCTCGTATTTAAGCCCTGGGTTTAATTTCGAATTTGACCAAGTTTAGTGGTGAAACATTTCTTCTGAAATTAAGCCCAGGGCTTAAATTCGAAAAGAGGAAAAAATGACAAACATTTGGGTTAAATCAGATCTTACAATCATCAGTATCACTCTAAAATAAATTTTGAATTTAACCCCTTGGGCTTCAATTCGAAATTTAAACTCGTTATAACGACAGGGCTTAAATACGAGGATTCCTGGTACTGGCTAGGCCACTTTTGTTGAGTAGACTTTAAGACCCATTTTCGTTCTCTATGTATGCATGCTGTAAATTTCAGATACATGTACTGGAGTAAATGCATCTAGGCCTCTTTTAAGTTATCAATATATTGTAGAATGATTTTTTTTTAAATATTATTAACCGCAATTCATAGATTCCCGCAGGTATTGTTTTGCAAATGGCTTTAGTGTGTACGAGTTATTTCCCCTTGATATGTTTAACTTTTTAACACAAAGAGAAATTCACTGTGGTCACTTAAATGTTTGTCACATTATTAATAAGCTTGATGAGCTTAAAGAGTTAATCAGAAATTTTGATATATTTGGTTTTTCTGAAGTATTCCTGAAGTATTCCTGGCTTCCATGCACATCGGGTACGCTTTTATATGTTAGAGATACGCTCAATTGTAGGAGAAGAAACGATCTTGAACACCTCGATGTAGAGTCAATCTGGCTTGAAATAAAATTGAAAAATACGACCCCTATTCTCCCATGCTGCGTTTATCGCAACCCGGCCTCGCGCTGTAACTGGCTTGAAAACTTTAAGAAAATAATTGAACTACCTTGTAATTCTGGGTCTGAAATAATAATGTTTGTTGATTTAAATATTGATATTCTAAATCATAATAATTGCTACTGGCTAGATGTACTGGATTTATATAACTTCAAACAAAGTATTTCTTCTCCTACAAGAGTCACAAACCATATTCAACTACCTTAATTGATCATGGCATCGTGTCCTCACCTAATAATATTATTGAAACATTATCCAATATGTTTTACATGGAACAAAAAGGCATACAAATCCCCCAAACTAATCATATTTATATTATATATCGATCTTTTAAATATTTTTCTGAATCTGATTATATAAACGATTTACAACTCGCCCTTTTTGATAATGTTTATAGCACAAATGATCCCAATAAAGCCCTGGAGTTATGGTATAATACTATAATTCCAGTTATAAATAAACATGCTCCACTGACAACCAAACATGTTAAGAATACTACGAAGCAGCCCTGGCTTAACAAAAATTTTTTTAATATGATGCGTCAACGCGATTACCATAAAAAGAAGGGAAATATTACTCAGTCTAAAATGTATAGAAATTTGTTAAAAAGTATGATTCGGAAAGAAAAAGCTATATATTTCCAAAGTCTTGTCTCTAATAATAAAAATTCTAAAACTATATGGAATGCCATAAACACAACTTTAAATAGAAACAATAATAATTCACAATTTCATATCCCAGGTATAAAAATAACAGAAGTTAATAAGTCCCTACAAGCTCTAGATATCGCAAAAGCCTTTGGATTAGACTCTGTTAATGCCCTTTTTTTCAAAAAGGGGCACACATAATATCTGGAAGCCTATTAAACCTATATTTATAATATTTGTATTGATCAGAATGTTTTCTTTACTTTTTAAAAAACTGCTAAAGTTTTACCTTTATACAAAAATGGACCCAAAAATGATTCAAACAACTACCGACCAATTTCTATATTACCAAGTTTATCAAAAGTATTAGAAAAACATGTCTTTTCACATCTTACTGAATATCATAATAAATATAATAAATATAATAAATTGTATTCTAACCAGTCCGTGTTCAGATCTAATAGCCCCTGTTTGACTGCTTTGACTAATATTACTGACACTATGTATGACTCCCTAAATAATAATCTTCTATGTGGAGCTATTTTCTTTGATTTTAGGAAAGCCTTTGACCTTGTAAATCATAAACTGCTCTTACAAAAATTGCAATTGTATCAATTGTCCAAGACATTTATAATGTTTCTCAATTTACACTTGATTGATAGACAACAAAGGACCTTTATAAATGGTAATTTGTCTTCTTGTAAACCAATAGGCCAAGGCGTACCACAAGGTTCAGTCTTCGGGCCTTTATTATTTAATATTTTTATAAATGATTTACCTCTGTATTTAAATTCTAATTGTGATCTTTTTGCTGATGATACAACCATTTATACTAGTGCAAAAACTGTCCCTGACCTTCAAAACAATCTTCAAATGGATACAGATACGGTGATGAATCGGTGTAGACATAATAGCATGATAGTTAATGAGGTCAATTACAACTAGACAGGAGCGTAAACATTTATCGTCTGAACTTAGTATTAAAATCAATGACTCAGTCATAGAAATTGTTCCCAGGTTCAATCTTCTGGGAATTATTTTAGACCACCATTTACAACTGACTATGTACATTATGTAACCAGAATTGTGAATCAAAAGATTTTCCAACTTCGCCAAGACAAACAGCTACTACCACTTCAATATCGGTCTCTATTTTACACAGCATATATACAAACCTATCTAGGTTATTGTTCACCAGTTTGGGATCAGGGTGACTCTACATTTATTTACAAAATTATTAATCAACAATGCCCTTCATATTTAACCAACATCCTCCTACTAATATGATACTCCATACTCTAGTATCAATAACAAAATTGTCATTCTTCGGCCTGATTTATCTGTTGTTAAAAATAGTATTAAATTCACTGGTGCCCATTTATGGAATTCATTACCCGACTATTTAAAATATTGTAAATCATATTATTCATTTCGAAGGCGATTATTTAAATTTGTAACTACGTAGAGACCTAGTAATGTCTTCTTTGTAGTAGTACTTATATACATTGGGAGCAGTCAGAAGAAATATATTACGGCCATTTCCATTAATTAGTTTGTTCTATTTACATGTACCTTAAGCATATTATTAGATGATAATCATATGATTCGTGTGTGACACCTTTATTATATTGTCATTGTAATTATTATATTCAGTTGTGATTTTGTTAATATTCTTTTGTAAATATTTTTCTTCTATATTCAAATTTTATTGTTAACTTCTTTAACTTCTGTTATAAAGGGCAAAATGTAAGAGAGTGTATCCCTGCGCAAGTTTTGTGATTTCCCTAATTCCCACCTTAAAATCATAAACATTCACATTCACCTAAACGTGCATATAATGTGAATTCGAGCACTCTTCTTTGATTCCAACCCAGAAAAACAATAACAATTGGCCGCAAAGAGGGGGAGCGGGAAGTAGGCCTACTAGTCTCAGTCCTCACTCTCTACCATGGAAACAAAAATAAGGCGGCGAGCAGTAAGCAGCGTAGAATCCAAAATAGGGTAGATTATTTTTAAAATATAATTTTAAAATAGCTTACCCCTGCGCGGCATAGATCTTCCAGACAAATAATAGGGACATTATCACTTTTAACAAGAAAATCAATAGACTATATGAAGCTTATAATATAGCCAATAAAATGAGTCTTATTAATAATTTATATCTCAGTAATTATGAAAATTTGTCTCAAATTTCGCAAACAATCTGATTTGAAACATAAAACAGTGTAATTTCGACAATCGCCGAAGTGGGGAAAGGGGACATAGGGCTTAGCTTAAAGAAGACATAATTTAAATCTACAT